GCGTATCAGTCTGTATAGTCGGGGGAAAATAAATAAGGTTTTTTTTCGATAATAAATGAGACCATGATCATCTGTATGATGAATTCATTGTCATGGCAAACGATCTGGAATCAAGGAAATGAAAAATAGCGATTTTTGAAATTCCTATATCTAAAGTTCGAAAATGTTTGCCAAACGACTGAAAATTTAATTCAATTTGAAATGTTTTTATCACTACAATGTTCAGGAAATTAAAGACATCTCATTGGTTCTCAGGATAGGCGTGTCTTAATCAATAAAACTTGTCTAGAATGTTATTTTAAGGAATTTTTTTTTATGTTCTGGTTCCCACGAAAAGGGATATCCTGTAATGTTCATAGAACATCGTGAGAACCAAGGGAGATAAGGTAGGAATTGGTGTTTTTCTTAAGTTTCTGGAGGTTATATGCCTCGGGGAACACCTCCCTTGGAAATGTGTTCCAGAGCCTCGCTGTTCGTTGGATGAACGAGTCTTTCTAAAATAATCTTACGGAGACAGTAGTTGTCCACCAAAAATAACTCTCGCTCTCAATGCATCTTTGATTCTTCAGCATAAGTCAGATAAGTATGCAGGGTGAATCTGAATGTAACGTTTTTTATTTAATAGGGTACCTACATATCTCGCCAAAATGAGTTGATTGGCCTAATGCTTCATTTCCCTCCTAAAATTTTTTGGTTCACTTTAAAACGATAATTAATAGGTTGAAAATGTAAAAAGAGGTTTTTGATTAGTATTTCTGATGAAATAATGCAATTGTGAGGTATCTAATGCTGGACTAATAACGGCTTTTTTGCGTTTTTTTTTTTTGAGAAAATGTAAACAAAATGTTTCATAGTTGGAGCCTTCTTTAAACCATATAATATCCTGTTAAGAAAAAACCTAACTTTCAGATTCACCTATACTAAACCTGTATACTTACACCTAAACTCATTAGGTACCTATCGAGGATCATTTACATTTCATGATTTATCTCTTGATATAAATTGTTTCCTATTTATTTTTGAGTGTAAAAAACAAGTTACTTCACCTATAGGGTTTAAATATAGCTTGTTTCGTAATAAAATAAGATCATCTAAATATGTATGTTTCTAGTTTTTCCATATTTCTACGACATTCCATCACTATCACTATAATATATTAGAGCTCTAATGATTATGATTTCACTGATCATTATAATTGGAAATAACTGTGATCAGGCTTGAAAAAATATCAATATGAAATGGATATCAAGAAAAAATTATAAAATTTCTAATTCATCTATAGAAAACCTTGTATAGGAAGTGAGGAACGCAATTCAATACGCAACGGCTAATAAACTTATTATTATCGAGTTACTCAGCTCTAATAACACGGTCGATCTAATTAATTGAATATTATATCACAATACTGAGTATACTCGCATGATTTCTAATATGCAGCACGTTTTTATTAAAGTCCGAATACATCAGAGGTACACATTTGTTAATCGTTCACCCAAAGTGACCAAGGTTCAAATTCCGATAAGAAACTTTTTCTAAATTTATGTTATTTGTATTTCCTTCGATCCCATCCAAGCTTATTCACGACTATAATTACAAGGAATGAATAGACCTCAAATAAAGGGTGTACCAGTCCTTCATTGCATCATAGTATCAGTTATAATTAACAAAATATGTATGATTCGTAAAATTCTCTTCTGACCGCCTCTCTTGATTTTTTTTTAAGTCTGTTACCCCCACCCTCCCTTGAATAGTGCATGAATTTTTGGTTTAGCCAAAGACTACCCCAATCCACAATAATAATTTGGAATTATACTTCATCAGTGTTCCTGATATAGTCTTTATCCTAGTAGTACCTAGCAACTTCACCAAAATTATAAATCATTTCACGTTAATCCTGTTTTTCTTACAACATTCAAAAAAGAAACCTATTGAGTGAAAAAGAACGTTCTTGGATATCTTCTAAACGATGTGTATGTATATGTTGTTTCTAAAATAACCAAGCATTAGAAATATCCAGAGTACCCATTGGTGTAGATTTTGCGGGAATCATAATTATCCTTTTCTCCCACAAAAAAATACTGAACGAGTGATTTGAATTTTCAGTAACGTTTTTTAATCACTAAATTGCTACAAAAATTCTTGTCAGATCAAGATAGAAGACACCTTTTCGGAAAAAAAAAATCAGAATCAGTCTCCTAATGAAGTGAAAAAAATTGTTTTTTGTTATACAAGGGAAAAAGTATTAGAGACAGAAAACCGTGTATGATACACTATTTTTTTCAGTGACAGGAAAAAGGACGAATCAATATAATAAAAACTCTCCAAGTCGTCTTTTATTATATTTTAACTACTTCATTCCACTTTGAGATAACATGGACTTCTACAGTAGATAGGTATTACATATTGCAGTTCTTCCGGTGTTTGTTTTGGCTTATTTTTCGGAACTAGCACGAAAAGTCATCGATAGTGTATATAGATCCGAGAAAAAAGTACTCACTTTTTTCCCATGGGATAAATGTTATTCATGAAAGTGACAGTTAATAACCTGCCAACAGAGATGAAATGTCAAACTTTTATCCTTATCCTTTTATCTCACGCGATGTTATCTGAACATTACAGGATATCTCTTTTCGTGGGAACCAGAACATAAAAAAATCTTCCATTCCACTTCAAGGTTACGTTAATTACTAAACAACCACTAAGTTGGCAATTTTTTAGAATCAAATCGCAGAATGAGACTGACTGATATTTGATAACTTCAAATGAATGATAAAGATGCCTGCAACCTGTAACGCAGGTGTAATTCCTATTAAAAACTCCAAATTTCATCCCGATAATTTTCTGATTTTAATGTAATGTAATATCTTCTCAATATGATTCGCCCTTTTTTCTGTCACATAAAAAAATAATGTATTATAAACGGGAAAAATATTGGTTGTGAGCTAAAATCTACTACTTTTTTCCCTTGTATATAACTATTGTTACACGTTTCCATGATTTCGTTATTGCTGCTCTCAATACTGAAATGAATAATGATTCTTGAAATGCATTATTAGATAAAAATGGAAATGGAAATGAAATATCTATGAGTTTATCAGAAAAAAAGTGGAAAAATCGAAACAACTGGAGACATTCTCGATTTTTATTGAAAACGGTGAGCCCAATAAAATTTTGACTAGTATACTTTTTTTGTAGCAATTGAGACTATAGTGATCAAAACGAGGGATGACATTTTTTTTTATAGAAATGTGTCAAACGACCCCTGAATCTACGACACTGGGAACGACACGTTGTACCCGGAAATTTTTCAATGCCTGCTTAGTTCAAAAACAACATATACAGTAGAAATCAGAATTTGAATTGCCCTATCTCATTAGTAAACAAAAAACTAATACTGCGAGAGTCGTTGTCAGACCTAATTAGGGCAGCTTTCTCTCGATATAATTGATTACTGTATTGTCGAAGTTTTGATAATTTTTTTTTCATCTTCAGATTTCCGAATAGATATGACCAGTACATAAATAATTTTAATATTCAGAGAAATCTTTAAATTCAAAGCTATTGGTGATGATTGTGAGTTGTGGGAAAAGTATTTATTTGAATTATAGTAAGTAAATATGTTCATGCAATATTTTTTTCAACTTTGTATTGATCAAAGATTTCAGGAGGTAAATTAACAAAGCTTATTCGAAAAGGTTGAATAATAATAATATTTGAGAGCCCAATAAATAACACAATTGAATGTCAGTAGATAGTAAATTAAAAGTTGGGATAGGGACATGAAAGCCGTTTTCGACCAATAATGATTAGTTTCAGCACAAAAGAATCCGAAAGTTGAAAAATCTCGATTTTGAACACCCTATATCTCTGTAATTATTCCCGATAGACCACAAGTGTGATGCATCGATGAAATCAGCTCTTTATAGAGAATCTGAAAATGCAATGAAATACAGGGTGTTCTATTTGAAAAAACAAAGTTGTTGCTACTTTTCGTTAGAATAAGCGGAACCCCGCAGCGCTGAAAATATTTTAGAACGATGTCTCCCTCGAAAATTTAGTGGACGTGTTCCAAAAATGTTCCTCATCCGGTTCTGGTGACCTACAGAGCCTCTGTTTCGTTTTCAACTCTCTGTATAATTATTCTGAATTGATTGAGTAGTTATCTAATATATTATGGGGAAAATTCATGTTGTATTATCATCTTAACACCCTTTTATCTCATATACAATGTGATCCGTTTATAGCAACATTTTTCTCTAATAGATTCAAATAAAGTTATTTCAACAGTTGTCAAGGTCCTACTTAAGGAACTGCCTCGCCCTATATATCTGATTTTTTGTTAGAAGATTCAAGAGTTTAATAATTCATAAGTATCTTCTTTGCGCTAAAATGAACTAATTGAGAAACGTATAGAATTTCATGACCAATTATTGATTCTAAGGATAAACTAAATGTTCGACCATGTGTACAGGGTGATACTCGCCTAGACAATATCTATAGGTACTAATGAACGTATTACGTATACACGTATACACCAATGAATTGATAACCTCTGATTTCTTAAATAGTCCGAGTTGTTTTATATTACGTATATACAAATTTATATGTCATTTTTGGTCGTTATAAAAATAGAAAATGATAAATATATTGTTCCTCAAATATCCTGAAGATAAAAAAAACGAATAGTTCGTTGTGAACAAATAATTTTCATCCAAAAGAGCTCACTTGAATTGAAAAGCTCAATTAATGTGTCATTGTTCAATATTTGGCTATTCAATTATCTAGGCTAGGGTATACTGGGTGTACCAAAAAACGTGGAAAGCCTTCCGGGTGTAAATAGAACAGGATGGAATTAGGTATTATTTTTTTTAAACATGCATCAACAAAAATAACGAAATATGATCGCAAAATAGAAAACATACTATTCAGTCTTCACTTCATCGATAGTAGGTAATAATATATAATTGGTTCGAATCTGATCATTATGTCATGGTACTTACCGCTTCTAAAATCCGCATCCTGGTACTGGTTCGGGATCCTATCTGATAGTTCGCACTAACAAAGAAGTACTACCAAGAATCAATAAATTGCGCGTATCTGAAGTACTACCACTCGATTTTTTCTGCAACGCGGTACGATAGCGAGAGTGACTTTGAATGTCTTCAGGTGGCTGACGGTACTGGCTTTATAACCTAGGTACCATAGGGGGGTACCACTGGTACTTCACTTGGTACTACACAGTTGCCTTTCGTCCTTTTAGCATAATTTCAAAAATGAAGAACATGAATGAGCAATGAGTTGGTTGGTAAGAGATTGATCAATTTCCATGGGTGGTTTTGAATACCAATTTGAAAAATTCGGTTTTTGGCAATTCGTGATTTATATTGAATGTATCCGATTGAGTAAAAGCGTATGCACTCTGCATGTTTAGTTTATTATATTTGTTTGGGTTATATCTCGTGATCAGATGGATCACATGCCTAAAGCGATTGCAGTATAGGTATGGTACCAACTCGAGTACATATACTCTTTGTCTTTTGATATTTCGATACAGATTAGTCAATAGGCAATTTTTTCTGAATGGGTTAGAAAACAAAATCATACTAATGACATTTTACTTGATTTTTTGGGATTTTCTGTCCTCGTTTCTATAAAATAAAAATATGCGTATTATTTCAATATATTTGTAGTGGGACAAATCAGATGATTTGCCCCAAAATGTCACTGCGTTTAACAAATTTTTCTATCAGGGAGCCTAAAAGAAAAATCCAGTAGCTTGCCAGTGACAATTTGTTTGAAAAAATGTTTGAAGGAAAGATATATTGGAAGAATATCGAATCTTTACTTATCTTTGGACGTTTCGGGACCGAATCTCAACATGAAAATGCAAAATATTTCTCTTTGGAAGTTGTGCTGCTTATAGTTTGACAGTTTTCAGTGTCATACTGATGTTGGCATATGAATCAGTGATTTTAGTCAACAAATGAGTTACAGGATGTTTTCATTAATTGATCTAGAAGATAACAACTAAAAAAGAAAAATCAAGGAATCCGCTTGCATTCTTCTGAACGGAGACAATAGCATTGCTTCCTGTTCAGTTGATATAGATAGAACATGGTATTCACTACTGAAAACTGAACATGAAAATGGTAGAATAGTAGAATGTCACCCAGTGTCAATTTTGATTACTAATTTCATTAGAATTTCTTGGAACGTTGCATAGCAACAAACTTTTTCTGCCTAGGCAGTAAAAATACACCTTTTCTGCCTGTTAAGCGGCAATAAAAAGCCACTATCCACTTGGAGAAAAACACATTTTCGTTGGCTGTTCGTCAGAAATGAGTGAAACAAATTTAATGAAAGTTGACAAAAGTGCATTTTAGAGAATATAACTCTCCTTTCAGTAGACAAATAAACCCAAAAGAAATTGTAGAAAAATTGAAACTACCCTCATCTCCTGATATTTTTTTCAGAACATTCTCAAGGATGGTGATCTGGTTCTCATTTTTTTTTGACGAGAAGACAGATTAATTATCTTCATTTTGTTTCTCTTGTGAAAACTTCCGAAGAAAAAAAATGTTTTTCTTAGTAATGCCAACAGATATTCCCAGTATACAAGTTTAATAACATTTGTATTACAAAATTCAATTGACAGTGGAAACAATGGCAGCACGTTTTTTATAATAAAATGTTCAATATGACGGCCACCTTTCAACAATACCAAGGTTAATTCGACGTAAAAAAATTAAATGCACCTGTTTTTCTTTTTATCTAAACTTAGAACTCTCCTCACGGACAAACGGTACATATTGGTATATGATTAAATTGGGTCCAATCAACTTATTTTGACCTCTATTATACGTGGTAGCTCTGTTTCTCAGCAATTTCGGGACACCCTGTATTATCTGCACAGAAATTTCTCAACGGTTTTCTGAAAATTCAAAACGTTGTAGATTGTAGATGGATCGTATAGGCTGGGAGACCTCTCGATCACTGCGACCTAGAAGATCTATTGTGATTACCCCTATCTAGTTTTGGTCCTCTAACCCTAGACTCCTGATGAAGCCTACGATTTTCCTGACGGTTGACTTTTCCACTTCAGCAGGGGTGAGATAGACCTGTTCTAGGTGGTTCAGCCTTTGGCGGACTAATACTTCACATGAGCAAAGTATGTGTTCCGCGGTTTCGGTCGCATTGTTACAAAAAAGCGGCAAGGGTCGGTCTCCGCCAGACCCATCTTTTTGAGGTGGTACCTCAGAGGGTCGTGTCCTGTGAGAAAGCCTGTGATAAGCTTTAGCTCTGGTTTGCTGAGGCTGAGTAGCTCTTTGGCTCGGTTCTGCGAATGGTTGATGAACCTTTTCGCTTGTCGTTGACCTGGAATTGCTCTCCAGTAGGAGGACTTTTCAATTTCTTCCCATTTCCCGAGTTCTCCCTTTAGGTGACATTTGCTTATCCCACAAAAAGGCTCAGGACCAAAAAGTGCAGATGCTGCAACTTTCTTTGCAAGGCGATCAGCTGCCTCATTTCCTTTGATTCCTTCATGCCCTGGAACCCACATAAGTGTGACTTTGTTGCCCTTTCCCAGTTGCATGAATGTTCCAAAGCAGTCCCATGTAATCTTTGATGTGAAAACTAATGATTTTAGGGCTTTTAGTGCGATTCAAAACGTTAATTTATTACTTTTTTGTGTTTTCAAGGCTTAAGCTTAAGTGTAGGTCTTAATTAATTATTGAGACACTTATTTACCTATATACCTATTGACATAAGCATCGAAGAATTTGAATGAACTATTATGTAAAGAATGTGAAACTGGATTACATTCTTGTAAAAATTTCAATAAATTGAAAAATTATGTAAATTTGATAGTATAAACTATGAAGTGTTGATAATTACTGACCTATACTGAGTACCTATCTTGCTGATGTATTTTGTATTTTATTTCTATGAGAATCAGTTCAAACTGACGAAAGATGATTACAATTTTCAAGAACAAAAAGTCTTTATTAGCTATTCATAATGAACTATTGTTTTCATTCCGAACTTATATAATGAGATTCCTTTTTACTACTTCTCAAACCAGAATATTGTATGATTTTTTAAGTAGTTTTGGCATTTATAGAATAGATGTAAGCCCCTAAGTCAAAATTATGGAGAGGTTCATTTATCTACGATAATTTCAGCAGTTTTGAAAAAAAACTGTACGAACATTTTGCTAGATATAAATCCATGTCTAAATTATTCAATGTGGTACAAATAACCACGGAATCCACGCACATTGTATGATTTTTTTTTTATCGCTTTAAGCGCAAGAAAGGGAATTCTTACAATGTTCGAAGAACACTTGTGTACCTTTGTATACTGGGAATTTTTTCAATGCTTGTTCATTTAAAAAACTAGATATGAAGTGAATATTAGAATCCTTGATTCAGTTTCATATAGCCTACTACAATGATAAAGTTATAATTCCAAAATACCAAATACGAATACGAAGTTCATATACTATAGAAATGATTGGGAATTTCAGGAATGATTCCAATTTTGAAATTAATCAGTGTCGTACCTACCATCAATGTCTGCCAAAATAGGTATGTGAAATTCCATACGAACGCCACTGGTGGCAACCAAAAAAAAATGTGTTACACTAACTGATGCCTCTTGATACATAGTACATGTATGCCAAATTTCATTAGAATATCTGAAGTGGTATTACAGATATTAATAAAAAACTATTAATTTTTGAGAACTTTTCCACCCTGTATCTCAAAAGTTAGGACGTTTAGGTCATACGTTCATATGAAACTTTCTTCTTAGAATGGGACCAAGAATCGCCTCCCCAAATATTGACATTCAATTATGAAACACCCTGTATAGTCGACTTCTAAAATATGTTGTCTATACCTATATTATCTGTATCTTGCATAATGAAAATCCCGTGTTTTATTGCTCTGAACAATAATCTAGACACGAAATTTAACAATTAGGTAGGAACTTACACATTTTGAGTCGCGTGCCTTCACTGGGTGTTGCGTAAAGTAAATATTAAATTGAGCTTGCAATAATTTCACTCGGCATTAGCGAAATTCCTGTTCATGCATCATATTTCCTGCATTTTTTAGTCATAATCCAAGGTAATACGAATTCAGTTCATATTGAACCAGTGAATTCAAGTTATATTAGGAACAAAAATCACTGAACTTTTTTTGAAAATTTTTTCACAACTGATAATACGGGAAAAGCTGTGGCTAAAAAATGCAAAAATATACGTAACTCAATTTTCGGCGATTATCATGATAGCTGTTTTAATTTGTTAATGTTAATCAATGATATTTTCCACATAACAAAACAGCTTTCTCAATTAATTAATTGATCAGGTTTTGTCTCTTTGCAGTTTGCTGATGACACGCAAACTCTTCAAGCGTTCCACTTTTTTTTTCATTACATATATTCTTTTTCTTCGAACATTTTCTAACAAAAGCTGTCACTGATGACTACTACAAAAAGGTTTATTGAGAAAAGAGACAAAATCACAAAAATATTAAGAAATCAATAAAGAAATATTTTCTTATATACTTAACCTTTTGGCAGAAGCTGTATACAGGGTATTTCCGAAACTGAAATGACATAATATATTACAAAATATTGAAAATGTTTGGAGAAATGTGCGCTCCCACCATATCTTTGAACTATTATTCAAACATCCAGCAAAATTGTAAGTCATTTTTCCTTCTAGTGATTCTGATCTCGCCGAAAGCAAACGCTTGGGTTATATAGAGGCTCCAATATTTCATAACATGAAAAATCAGTGTTGTCAACGACCAGTTGCTGAAAAACGTCAATGTGCCATTGAAATATAGCTAGATCCTAGATCATCAAAAGATGCGCTGCAGGCGAAAATTTTCCTAAAACTAGCTAATTTCTATACCTTTTTAATACTTATTTCATACTGTTCACTAGTCTGAACTTTTATTTTCCGCACACAACATTTTTGTCTTTGTTCATCACGTGTAATTTCAAATTATATACACAGAACATAGATACGAGAAAGTCTCGCTTCTTTCAAGAAAGTGTTTTTTTAAAATAAGAATGCAAATAGTCTTTTATCAAATCAAATCAACGTCATTAAAATAACTACGTCTACCCACCAGATGCAACATTCACCTACCCTTCAGATCACCTCTTTGAAAGGCCAGTTCTAGCAGTAAATAAGCCGTGATGCGTGTTGACAATGCTGGTGCTAATGAATGTAAGTATAAGCAGGTTGACTAGTGTGAAATTCGCAGTTATTATCGCCCCAATTTCGGAAACACCCTGTATACCTAATGTTATGCCAGGAAGTTATTGTAAAAAATATTATTTTTCACACTGAAATAATAAATGTGATCCTGTTCCAAATAGGTATTCATGGCCTTCTGAATCACTCGCATTCTTGAATGGGAGTACGATATATTATTGTTAATTGATTAGGCGATTTATGGCATCACCTCCGGGTGATTCTGGCTCTAAATTTTGACCTAGAACTTTCGAAACCAAGCGACCTCCACACCGTGCAACCGTATAGATTTCGTGTCCATAGTTATTTATTCATTATTATCGGTCCTCACGATTCCGATATTCAATCTAATCGGGCGTATTGTTATTCCGCGAATAATTACAGAGAAATGAATGAGGTAACCGGGGGAATTCGAATGCTTAGCATGGGTTAGCTAATTCTTTGCAGTCCAGCATGACTGACTCGATATCGCTTATTACGTACATTCATTCAATGAATTGTTGTCTCCTGCATAGATTAAGGAGACTCTTTGATCTATGTCTCTTGCTAATTTCTAATCGCGTTTTCCGAATGAGTTCTGCGTGGTTATTTCAAGAGCGAGCCAATGTCGAGAAATGATTTCCACTGGCTTGCAAACAAGCTCGATACTCGCCTAGAGTTCGAATTTTCAGAAGATGATATGTCGACCGTGCTTGGGACACGGTGCGTATCTCATAACCTCGAATCATCGGGAGGATTATGAATATTTCTTGTCCCATTGAAGTTGATTCTTGAATTCATAGATTCCTCGGATATAATAAGTGATAATGAAGAAACAATTAAAACGTTTCCGTAATAGAATAACAGCCCCTCCCCGACATTGAATTCAAAAATAAAAATCTGGAATGGCATGAGCAGATTTGCATCAGTTGACTATAGTCTTAGATTTCGAATTGTTTCTTATATTGCAACATAAATAAGGCTCATCACAATCTGTAGCAAATTATTGCTTGAAATTTGGATTCATGTCCGATCTGGATTGAATGGGCGTGTACACCTTAGTAGAACTTTTAACTCAAACCATGTTTATAACGAACCTTTTATACATAAATAATGATTGACGACATAATTCGATCGAGAAATTAACTGGAATGTTTCATTTTTGGACATAAATAATAGTACCTTCTGAAAACGTACCCTCTTATTACGACGAAACCTCATCTCGCCATAGTTGAAAGAAAATACCAAACGCCCGACGGAGACTGATGCAACTGATATATTAATTCTAATTCACTCTGTCAGAAATCATGTATCATTCATCTCTGTCTGGAATAGTCTTGTTTCAGTATTAGGGTTTTGACGTCACATCATCGCCTCGTTTTCAGATGTCCGAAAAATCAGGGATTTCAATAATTTTTTATAAAACGTAGGGAGCTCACAGCAAGAAATGGTTTGCGGTGGTGAGCTATAGTTTGGGTGAGTTCTATCGAATTATGAAATTTTTTTGTGATATAAGCCCATTGGAAGAATTTTCAATCACAATTGAATGCTTATATTCGTAGTTCTATACAATGTTTCGCAAATTTCCATAGCTACTGATCAATTGAACAAAAAAAAAACATCATATGCCGAGACGCCACTGATGGTACCGTAAATCATTGTCTGTATAGATTCTCTATCACTGCAATTTCTTGAATTTACTGTGAACGAAACTCTTATATTTTCTTATTTCCCGAAACAACGTATTCCCACAACGAAGTGGTTATTTGGACGGTGATAAACAGTTGATTATAGATTTATATTACGAAATGGATGAAATTGATACTTTGCCATCTACTGATTAATCCCTATTGCTATTTTTATGATTTTTGATCGATTCAGCATTTTCAGATTTTGCATATATTTTTATGTTGTCACCTTATGTAATTTTTACGAAGGCCTGGAAGGGACACATAAAATAAAAAAAATAAAAACTCTTCAAAATTCTGAGTTATAACTCGGAATTTCAAAATTTCGAGTTATAACTCGGAATTTTACATCAAAATTCCGACTTATATCTCGGAATTTCAAAATTCCGTGTTATAACTCGGAATATTGGATGTAAAATTCCGAGTTATAACTCGGAGTTTTAAAATTCCGTGTTATAACTCAGAATTAATATTGGATGTAAAATTCCGAGTTATATAACTCAGAATTTTACATCCAATATTCCGAGTTATAACTCGGAATTTTAAAATTCCGAGTTATAACTCAGAATTTTGAAGTTTTTATTTTTTTTTATTTTATGTGTTTCTTCCAGGCCTTCGTAAATTTTATTATTTCTGTTTGTAATCAACTTCCTCATACCAGTATTTTATTTCTGACTGGAAGCTATTTTGTCAGTAAACAATAATAATAACAAATATAAAACATTAATAATCAATCGGAGAATATCCCACGATCAGATATTAAAATATAAACAATTCACTGTGGATATTATGATATCAAAATATCAAGGAAACGGGGATTGTAAAATAAAACAAGACTTTATCCTTCACACACCATAGTATTTGCATATACATATTCTCGTAAAAAAATGTCCTTCCTCATAAGCCAATACCAAAACATACCAACAAAACGAAACTTCTCATTCCACCATCTTCTTGATCATATAAGTCAAAATGCCTCTGTTCCTGTAAAAAAGTGAACCCACCTTGGTGTCGAACCTCAACAGCACACTTCTTGATTATCATTATTTTTATTTCAAATCAACCTGATGGAGAAATTCGTTACAATTTCCATTGGAAATTAGGACCTCAACATTTTGTAGGAACGGAGTTAACATCGAAAAGGCTATAAAAATAAGATAACAAGTGTTATCTTTGCCTCTTATTCTATCCGCATTTTATGGTGTTCAGAAATCAAAGGGTACAGAGATTGTGAAATAAAACAGAGTATTCCTTAGGTAACTACTTTATTCTCCATACACCATATATTTGTATATTATACATAAATCTCTGTAAAAAAATCCCCTACCCCATAATAAGCCAATACCAAAACGAAACAACAAAAAAAAACTCACTCCACCATCTTCCTGATCATATAATTCAAAATGCCCCCGTTCCTGTAAAACAGCAGATCCACCTCAGTGTCGAACCTCAAAAGCACCTCGAACCTCTTCCCACTGTCGGTGGAAACGCTAACATGCTGTCCCGGCTTGAGGTCAGCGGGCAAGTCGATGTTGTACACCTTGTAAAATTGGACCACGTGAGTCATGCAGGCAAGTGTTTATTGACAAGAATATATTGACTGTCGTAGCTTTGTTTGTTTAGTGAAAAAACATAATATTCAGAAAGGATCCCGCACCATTTACATTGATATCTTGTCTACGGTGAAATTTCGTGAAAATCTAGGATTGGATAGATCAAATCATGCTGAACAAGAAATGTTCTTTGGTCCAAGCTCCGTTATGCCCGTTAAAAGAAGTTATAAGCTCTTGAAGCCAAACGAGATAACCTCTCTACCAGAACAGCACATCCTGTGTGTATTATAGGTCGCGTGCACGAAGACCGACCCTGGAGGCAAAATATTGAAACACAACCTCATTCTTCTGTGAATTATTGAAACACAACCTCACTTTTTTATTTGGTTACAGAGGAATCAAAAGGTTGAAATAGTTTTTCACAATATTTTGGCATACGAATCGTGTTTCTTGCGTTATTCATTAATTCAAGCATGCCTTCGCATTGTGCTGTTGTACAATGCACAAAAAATGCAGCAAGAGACTAGGGAATATGATTTTTTAGGTAAATAGTAATCTCACATAGTTATCATTATGAAATGTTGTCATTCCTTATTAAAATTCCTTCTGCCTTCTGCCACTTCTGCAATACAAGCTAATGCTGCTAATAGATTGAAAATGTCTATAACACACACGATCGTCAGCATGTCAGACCAGTCCTACCGATTGATTGCATGAATCCAATCTTCTTGCATTATTCTAGAAATTTCAGGTATATTTCTATTAGCTGATCCTATTGCAGAAGGAATTCCGATGAGAAATCAGAGAAATAACCAAATTTCAAAAATGAAAACTATGTGAGTGACTATAGTAGGTACTTACTTTTGAATCATAATGTACCATCCGGATTTCTTCATCTTCCGCTGCAGTTTTTGTGCATTTTACAACAGCACAATGTGATGGCATTAGCGAATTGATGAATAGAGGAAAAATACGATTCATATGCCAAAATAATTGTGGAAAACTATTTCGATCACTTGTAAACAAATATGTTTTGCCTCCAGGGTCGGTCATCTGACAGTTCTTGCACGCGACCTATGGTTTTGGCATATGTGATATTTCTGAGTTGTCAGATAATGGTCATTCATGTTATGTCAGTAAACGTCATTGAGCAAAAGCGTATTACTTTGTTCGAATACATATAAGATGGCTTATCAGAATAGGTTTCGTTGCTTTATATGCGATAGCGAAGGCAATGTTAATGCCTTGGCACGCATCGATCGAGATCAAAATGTTGAGCAGCAAGCAATCGCAATACATCGTCGACAGGTTCTAGGAAGAGAGGATATACCCCTAACCGATCATACTCGTTTATTTCTGAACTGTAATTGGATCCATAATATGAACCTGAATGTTGTCTTTCCCAGCCATGCAAGAGTGTGCATATTTAGTGGCGCAAATAATAATTTACTTCACCTATCATTAGTTGCTAGAGTCAATGTATATATTGTAAATAATATTTTTATCCATGAAAATGCCCAATCTTGTCGGGAACATGTCAACGCTGATGGTATAATATTGCGACCATTGATTGGTGGTTTGCGTTATTCGCGAGATTCACGAAGTGGGCGACATCTAGGTTACATAATACGAACTTCAAACTGGGGGAAAACAAACTGTTGTCTATGGATAAAGTGCATAGACTACATTGCATTCATCAGCTTGCTGTAGCTGTAGTCAAACTTGTCAATGACATGAAGTGTTGCCACTGTTGGTAGTGATTATGGTTGAGTTGGTTAATTTCCTTAGCTCATTACATTTTCATTTGAAGAATTGGAGATAGTTCAAACAATTCAAACTAATTATGACGATCAAATCAATTGACATATCAAAGAACAGATACAACATGTTTACAATACCCAGATTGTCCTGCTCTGCATGAACAAATACAAATCCATTGTTCTTCTGGAGTTGCTCTGGACCCCAACTCCAATTTTACTTCATGTGTGCAATGAGCCTTTTGTTGAAGTCTTCTGCCTCACACAAAATCACATGATTAGCACGGAGAACTGCTTCTCCTTCCACTACTGGTCGGCTTTTTCCATCTAAATAGAGCAAAATATCTGCCAAAAGAACATCTACAACAGGCGTTTTCGATCGAATATTGACAATTAATGTCAAGAAATCTAAAAACTTATCACTCTTATCAGTACACAGTACACAAGCTAATGGCACTAATGGGATTGAGTGAGGATTGAGTTTGTTTTCCCCCAGTTTTGACGTGGCTTTGACATGGAACGATAAAAACCGAGCGCCACGTGGTAACATTGATTCCCGCGAATACGGAAAGGCCACTAATAGTCCCCGGTCGAGACTTGCAAGTATTTAAACAAAGTAAGACGCTTTGCTCGATCAATTTTACTGACATAACATGAATGACCATTATCTTTCATGCCTCTGAAAAAAAAATTGAGAGGGGTTCAATTGTAAGAGACGCACCCTGTACGAGGTCGATGAGAAAATGTATGCACCTCGTCGAAAAACTGTCTATTGTCGCCTGCATCAATTTGCAGAGTCAACTAGGATAGACAGTTTTTCGTCCTTGGTAGATGAATAACTATTATTATCATCATTATCATCATTATTATTATTATTGTTATTACCTCCCTGCCTGTCAGCCCTAGGGCGTCAGCTCCCTGCCCTGGCAAGAACTGTAGTGGCACGATGCCCATGCCGACGAGGTTGGAGCGGTGAATGCGCTCGTAGGACTCCGCGATCACCGCTTTGATGCCCTGCGAACCAGAAAAATTCGTGGATGTATCAATCTATTCGCAAAGTGATCTACAAACCAATTGGAGACTTCACCCCATCACTCAAATGGCTTTATTTTGATGAAATCTTATACCAGGAATTACTGTCTGATCATTCATGTCATTCCTACTAGAAAATTAAATATACTTTATATATTATTTGTATGAAATGTATCAATGAAGAAGAGAATGTAATGCAATAACTGAAATAAATAAATAAATAAATAAATAAATAAATAAATAAATACTCTACGACTCTACTACTTCCACAAAATTCTCAAACACACGACATGTTTCGCCAACACAGTAGCTTCGTCAGGTGATATACTGGTACAATGAACTAAACTAACGTTGGCTTGCTTAACTTTTATATATCTTACTTTCCCAACCTGAAGGATTAGTTACCTGTGGACAGGTACAAATAAAGAACCATATAAACTATCAACAAACCCCGGAGAAAAGACAACAAAGCGCTACTGGGTGCTAATGAGCTACAGCTATGCAGTATAAATTTCGAAAACACAAAATTAAAGAGACAGATTCATAATCCAACTTTCCTGTTTTTAATTTTTGTAAACAAGGCAAGCTATTGGCTGCTATGACAGTTGACAAGTTAACGGGCCAATCAAATTGCGAAGGACGCGAACCACAGAACGTAAACACTGGAAACTACAGCCATGAATGATCCAAGGTGCTAATATGACATATATGATGATGTTATCTGAGTAAACATGATAACAAAATGTATTGTTGGTTGCATACGAATATGGTCACATGGTGTTCAATCATTGTTGAAGACCCGGTAGAAGTTATTCAAAAGAAAAAATATGAACTCCAATTCTGATTAGTTGAAAATTATGTTGATGTACCTACTTTCATTCTCAAATATGTCATATCGTCGTCAATTTCACTTGTCACATTTTTCAGATTATTTATTCATGGGCAAATCTATTATCTATTACTATTTGGTAAAGAAGTTTGTGTTTGTAGTAGGAATCAGGAATATATTCAAATACTGTCTGTAGGTTTATGGAGGAGGTGGTAAATTCATTTTTCAAAACAAAGTGTCACTGACCAACGATTGGATTTTTCTTTTAGGCTCCCTGAAGGAAAATATACTCACCAGTAAAAACGGCCCTTTAGCAGCCCAATCTCGACTTGATCCGGAGCCGTAGTCGTTACCAGCGATGATTATAAGCGGAGTTTCACTTTTGGCGTAACGTTGGGCGCAATCGAAGATGTCCATCTGAAAACCCGAATATTTTACTACAACAGAACTGCCAGGAAAAATGTTGAGGAGAAAAGTTGTTTTCAACTCTAGACCGTTTACCTCTTCGTTCGTGGGCAGATAGACCGTCCTCGGGCCAGCTTTGCTCATGAATTTGTTGACCAAACGAATGTTGGCGAACGTTCCTCGTGCCATCACGTCGTCGTTGCCTCTTCTCGAGCCGTACGAGTTGAATTCTTTCGGCGTCAAATTTCTCTGAGCCAAATATCTGGAAAGCACACTCGAGATCACAAACAAAAAAACAAAGTGTATCTGTGGAAACACGACAGGTACCCTTACAAGGGGATCGTACCGACTGTAAAGCTAAAATGCATTTATATAAAGTAGGCTATCGTCTTTGGGGACATGAATTATAAATCATCATCAAGAACAACACGTCCATCAAAAACATAATGTTGTCTTTGTTTTTCCAGTGGCTTTTCTTTGAGTAACACCGCAAATTTTCGAAGTAGACGAGCAATAATCGTTGTCAGGGATGTCAGTTGTCTTTTTTGCTATTACTAATGATTTTCCGACTGTTGTGTGACTAGTTTTCGATATTATAAGTCTAAAGCAGACTATTTTCTGAATAAATATGGTTCGGCAGTGTCAAATCTGTAAAGAAAAGTTAGTTACAAATATCTTAACCAGATATTTTACAGGTACATAGAAATTTGGTATAGTGGCGGTGTTGTTTGAGGGCTTCCTTTTGTAGATGAGAAGCGTATTTATTATATTGAATATATTAAATGACTTCACTTGGAAGTTACAAAATGACGCATAAATAACTTACAATACGTGAGAGTTAATTCAATCCAGTCGAACTGATGTGGTTCGTCGTTTTAGCAAACAAAAGCCTAGAGTTTATCTGTGTGGAAACACGACAGGTACCTTTTCGAGGGTAGTGTACCAACTGTAGAAGCTTAAATGATTCTATACAAAGTAGGCAGTCGCCTTTGAGGCAACATCAATTAGAAATTATCGTTAAAAACAAGACGTCCATAAAAAAAATAATGTTGCCGTTGTATTTTCACTGATTTTCTGTCACCTTGCAGCAGGATTCGTCCTGTTTAAGGACCTCGCCGGACTGATGTGGTCCGTCGTTACAGCAAACAAAAGCCTAGAGTTTATCTGTGTGAAAACACAACAGGTACCCTTATGAGGGAAGTGTACCGACTGTAGAAGCTACAATGCTTCTATACAAAGTAGGCCGTCACCTTTAAGGCGACATGAATAATAAATTATCATTAAGAACAACGTCCATCAGAAAAGAAGTTGTAGGTGTGTTTTCACTGATTTTTTCTCACCTTGCAGCCGGACTAGTTCTGCCTATGGACCCAGCCGGACTGATGTGGTCCGTCGTTACAGAGTCGCCCAAGAAGAGCAGCGCCCTGGCGTTGGACAGCGGCTTGGGTGGCTCCAACTGCCTGGTCATGCCGTCAAAGAAGGGCGGTCTTTTTATGTAGGTGGAGGAGGCCGACCAGGGGTACAGCTGGCCGCTGGGGGCGACGAGATTTTGCCAGTTCGTCGAACCTGATTTATATACATTTTTTATTTATATCTGTAGTTGATAAGGTACTATCGTTATTAGTTGTAGTTGTGTGTTGTAATCTTGTGTCATGTATGTTTAATTTAAGGATTTTTTATGACAAACACAATGTCCTATAAAGGAGATCAATACGGCGAATAAATGAATTGAATTTTCTATCGTGAATAAAGTAGGCAATCGCATTCAAAGCGACATATATCATGAATTATCATTATGAACAAAGTTCCGCCGTACTACAATGCGGTTCCATCCTGACTTTTTCTTATACAATTGTATGTTGTCTCAAAGAAATAAAGTGATTTGATTTCATTTTTGATGGAAATGCGTCGAACAAATATTTTGAGTTTGTTGGATACATTGAAACATTGAAAGACAACAACTACTTTCCTGGAATTGGACAGGTTAAGTTTTGTGTCAAATTGAAGAAAAAAAAACATTTGAAGAGTGAGATAATATTCGTGTTGCAGATGATTTGTGTATTTTCTACTGAATAAACGTGTACTGAAATTGGTGGAGATTATAATGTTTTTGAAGATGAAGAGTAATGTGATAATTCAAGAAGAGTTTACTTGAATTCGGACACACAGTGTAAATGATATAAGAGCTGTTGAGGCAATGTTTATGTCATTAAATAGGTGATAGGGAATGATGAAACAAATACCTACACTTTAGCTACTGTTTATAAAATGAAACACAAAGACTTCCTTCTTACTTTCAGTACAGAATAAAAGAGTTATGTGTTATGTGAGGCGATTTATTGACCGTTTTGTCGAAATGACAGATTATTTTGATTATTCCCTAAAAAATTCACAAACAAGTCATTGTTATACACTTCTGCTAATTGTGATATTAGGGCCATCAAAATCTAATATAATATGCATAAAATATTTTGAATCAAATGTTATTCAGTTAGTTTTTGGATACTCCAATTGAATACAAATATGGGCTAACCTGTATGAACATAACTTATCAGTTGATGATGAAAAATCATGATTCCTCTTGTATTTAATCCCAATAGAATCAATGTTGAGTATAAACATAATTTCTGTAAGTATGTTCAACATTTAAAGTAAAGTAGTTTTGAAATAGAAATAACGAAATAATGTGAACAGAACCAGATGTTTTTCAACTATATGGAGATATGAGAAGAAATAGCAGGATAAAGAGAAACACTTCAAGATAATTGTCAAACATTTCAATGTGTCGAATTCACACATAATGAGTGAAGAGCTGAAATAATGAGTGAAAGATATCAGCGAAAATTCGAAAGAATGCGTAGAACATAATAAGAAAATGAGTTAACACTTCCTTATTATTAACAAGAAACAACATTTGTTTATAGCAGGGAACATGGTGAATATATGAATATATTCAACAAAATAACATAGGCAATAAAATAAAACTCACACTCGAGGAGAAATTCTTATTTTTTTTGTTAGTTTAACTGAGAATGATTCTTAATTGACTCAGCTGTTAGGTAGTCAATAGAACAGAATATAGTAATTGTACCATTAAAAAAAGATAAGATGTCAATATTACTGGAGTAGATGTTTCTTGAATTCTTTTTTAAAATTTTTCAATCCTATTAATCAGCTTCAAGTTATTTGGTAGTAAATTTTCTTGGCAGAAAAATTATCTGCTAGTCTAGTTGTATGGCTGTGATGACTACTACCACAAGATGATGACTAAATTATCAGAGATCCCAACTGAAATTTCGAGATGTATTAAATTTCGCGATACTCACCGGTCTCGATCTTAGCATAAACCTCCTTGAACATGGCCGGAATCACGTGCCTCTTCTCCACCTCGTGGATCTGCTTCCTAGTTGGCCAAATGTCCCGCAAGAACACCTCGCTGCCGTCGGGACGCTTCCCCAGCGACTCCGTCTCGAAATCGACGTCGACGCGACCGGCAATGGCGTACGCGATCACCAGGAGCGGACTGGCCAGATAGTTGGCTCTGGTGTTGGGGTGGATGCGGCCCTCGAAGTTGCGGTTGCCCGATAGGACGCCGCAGCAGACGAGGTCGTTTTCCTCGATGGCGTTGACGATGTTCTCGTCGATGCCGCCGCTGTTGCCGATACACGTCATGCAACCATAACCTGTGAGAATTTCGAGATATCAACTGGAAGTTTCAGACAATTACTCTAAGATTTTGAGGTATTGTGGAAAACTTTGGGATCTAACTGAAAGTTTCTAGATACCGTCTTAAATTTCGAGATAGTGGGGAGAATTTCGAGATTTAATTTCGAAGTTTCGAGATGAAATCTAAAATTTCGAGATAGAGATGAAAATTTCGATATAAAATTGGAAGTTTTGTGATACCGTCTTAAATCATGAGATGAGATAAATTTCGAGATATTGAGAGAAATTTCGATATATAATTGGAAGTTTCGAGATACCGCCTTAAAGGACCCCGCACTTTTAGTACGTAAAATGGTTCTCGGTGAAATTTTCTGAATTTTCAGTATGTTGTAGAATTCGATGAACTGATTGAACCTGCAGAATCGTAAAGTTCTTTGATGAACAGATTCTGAGATACAGGGCGTTGAAGTTACAAATCGGTATTTTTCATTTAATTATTTTCTCGAAATTCAAAGATGCCAAGTACAATTTTCTTCGCTCATATCATCAACGAACCTCCATATTACTCAACATAATTCAGATGGTTCAGATGATGTAATTGTTTACAGAGTGAAACATATAAACATTTCAGTGATGTCTGAAAATTCGATGTAATAATGAAATATCGAAAAAATAATTCGGGCATGCAATATATTATTCTCATTCCATCATGGATCACAATTCATACATTTCATACAGGGTGATTTGAAAAATTGGTGACACCTAAGACCGATTTATTCATACACATCCTGTATATTCGAGTGAATTGTTAACCTCCCAAGATAGCTGATACCGTATGAACATGATTTCGTTGAGATATATAGGGTGATCATGGAGATTTTCGATGATGAAAATTACGAAAATCGTGTTTTTTGAAATCACCCTGTTATTCATGATTAACTCGGTGAAATTCCCTAATTATTTTTCAATATATTCATCATTCGCTCCCCAACGCTGTCTTGAAAATTCAGTTCCCTATCATGACGGGTGTCATAGTTATTAATTCAGGAACTTACCATTTGCATGAAGAGTTGAAGAGACTTGTTCACTTACATTCGCATAGAGTGGCCGATATTTTTCACAAATAGTGAAACGTGAGAATCTGGAGACGAAAATAAGTTTTGTATTCATATACAGGGTGAACATAAGAAATTCAATAACAATAGCAGATATATGAAGTTAATAATATTAATATAATGTACAGATAGTTAGGCGAATTTCGTTGGTATACAAGCTCTGCCAAAATGAAAAACGAACAATAGGAGATGGGGGAATGATTCGGTCTTTCACGCTTCCATTTCTAATAGGGAGAGTTGATTCCTGGAATCGAAATTCGCCTAACTATCTGTACATTATATTAATATTATTAAATTCATATATCTGCTATTGTTATTGAATTTCTTATGTTCACCCTGTATATGAATACTGAACTTATTTTCTTCGCCAGATTCTCACGTTTCACTATTTGTGAAAAATATCGGTCACTATGCGAATGTAAGTGAACAAGTCTCTTCAACTCTTCATGCAAATGGTAAGTTCCTGAATTAATAACTATGACACCCGTCATGATAGGAAACTGAATTTTCAAGACAGCGTTGGGGAGCGAATGATGAATATATTAAAAAATAATTAGGTAATTTCACCAAGTTAATCATGAATAACAGGGTGATTTCAAAAAACACGATTTTTTGTCATTTTCATCATCGAAAATCTTCATGATCACCCTATATATCTCAACTAAATCATGTTCATACGGCATCAGCTATCTTGGGAGGTTAACAATTCACTCGAATATACAGGATGTGTATGGATAAATCGGTCTTAGGTGTCACCAATTTTTCAAATCACCCTGTATGAAATGTATGAATTGTGATTCATGATGGAATGAGAATAATATATTGCATGCCTAAATTATTTTTTCGATATTTCATTATTACATCGAATTTTCAGACATCACTGAAATGTTTATATGTTTCACTCTGTAAACAATTACATTATCTGAACCATCTGAATTATGTTGAGTAATATGGAGGTTCGTTGATGATATGAGCGAAGAAAATTGTACTTGGCATCTTTGAATTTCGCGAAAATAATTAAATGAAAAATACCGATTTGTAACTTCAACGCCCTGTATCTCAGAATCTGTTCATCAAAGAACTTTACGATTCTGCAGGTTCAATCAGTTCATCGAATTATACAACATACTGAAAATTCAGAAAATTTCACCGAGAACCATTTTACGTACTAAAAGTGCGGGGTCCTTTCCAGATAGTAAGAAGAATTTCGAGATAGTGAGGAGAATTTCGAGATATAATTGGAAGTTTCAAGATGAAGTCTGAAATTTCGAGATAAAAATTAAAATTTCGAGATAGTGAGGGAAGTTTCGATACATAATCGGAAGTTTCGAAAAATAATTGGAAGTCTGATATATCCAGAAGAGATGATGGGGAAAATTACGATATAACTGGAAATTCCGTAATACCGTCCAACATTTCGAGATAATGAAAAGAATTTCGAGATATAACTGAAAGTTTCTAGATACCGTCTTAAATTTCGAGATAGTGAGGAAAATTTCAAGATATTGGGGAAAATTTCGAGATATAATTGGAAGTCTCGAGAAGAAGTCCAAAATTTCGGGATAAAGTTTAATATTTCGAGATAGTGAGGGAAATTTCAATATATCATCGAAAGTTTCAAGATAATGTCTGAAATTTCAAGATAGTGAGGAGAATTTCGAAATTTACTACTATTTAGTCAGTCCCCGACCGGCTATCACGGATGCCATCACCAGGAGCGGGCTGACCAGGATCAGGAAAATTTCGAAATAACTATACCTTCGAGATAACCTCAAAAATTTTGAGATGACATTCAAAGTTTCTAGAGTCTCTCCGAAAGTTCGAGATAATGCCCAAAAGTTATAGAAACTGTTTCGAGATGTCAGAGATTTCGAGCTAATAGCTGAAATTCCGAAATAATGAGTGAATTTTCGAGATGTCCCATTCGCGATAGAAAATAAGCGTACGACACCTATCGGAGTTCTTGAAAGCTGTCAAAGCGGCATGTTTACTTTGTTTTCATTGGTTCACATTTGTTTTTTGTTTGTGCTAATTGGTCATATCATCAAAACAAACCGCTCAGAAGTGTTCAAGTTGCTGCCGTCAGGTGGGGCGAAGTGTTAATTTCTATCGCGAATATTTTGAGATTTTTTCCGAAATTTGGAGATTACTTCTGAAGTTTCGAGATGGTGTCTAAATGGACATGTGGTCTGAAAATTCGAAACTCCGAGATTCCATAATAATTTCTAAAATATTCCATCTGAAATATCGAGAAAATGTTTAAGGTTTGAGCTAATGTCTGAAATTTCGAAATGATGTTTGGAATTCCATGATATCTATAATATTGAAATGTACTTGATATCCAAAATTTGGAGGTAATGTCTAAAATTTGAGCATAATTGTCTAAAAATACCACGTCTGAAATGTCTGAATACAGAGGAAAACTTCGAGATAATGTTTGAGGTAATGTCAGAAATTTGGACATGAAGCCTGTAATTTCGAAATTATGCCAGAAATTTCAAGATAACATCTGAGATTAAGACATAATGTCAGAATGTTAGAGATGATATCTAAAATTTCGAGATAATTTTCGAAACTTCAAGATAATGACTGAAGTTTTGAGATATGTTTGAGATTTTGAGAGTGTCTTAAATTTCGAGATAATTTATGAAATATCGATATTTTGAAATCATGATTGTCTAATGTAATAATGTCCGAGATTTCAAGCTGTTTACGGTAGAATTTCTCAAGTTTCAAGATAATCTCTGGAATTTCAAGATAAGGTCTGGAATCAACTGATATCTGCAATTTCTTGAGTTACAAATTTTTGCATTTTTGAAATTTCGACCAAACTTCTGAAATTTCGAAACAACTAACCTACAATATCGAACCCGAGTTGCTCCAGGGCTGGCACCACCCCAGACTCCTTCAAATAGTAGGTGACCACCCCCGAGCCGGGCGACAGACTGGTCTTGATGTAGGGAGCGACGCTTAGACCGGCGGCAACGGCGTTCTGAGCCAAGATTCCGGCGCCCAACATGACACTTGGGTTGCTCGTGTTGGTACAAGACGTGATGGCGGCTATGACGATGCTGCCGTGCCTCAGTTGGTACTGTTTGCCGTCGAACATGAACTTGGCCGATTTGGAGGCGGCCGATTCGGTCAGGCCGAAACCCTTGAAACCGACCTGGGAACAATAGTTATTTACTATACAAGGGAAAAAGTAGTAGATTTTAGCTCCAGGTTGTGTTGTCTCCCGACGCGTAGCGGAGTGTGCTAAAATCTAATATTTTTCCCGTGTATAATACATTATTTTTTTCTGTGACAGAAGAAAAGACGAATCGATATTGAGAAGATATTACATTATTTTAATATCTGAAAATGATCGACGTGAATTTTCATGTTTTTAACAGTAGGGCATTTAACAGTTGTAGGCATCTTTATCATTATTTTGAAGTAATCATCAGATATCTGATGTCACTTCTGTCAGTCTAATTTTGTGATTTGATTTAAAAAAATTGCGAATTTAGTGATTGTTTAGTAATATACGTCGCGGCGAAGTCAAATGGATGAGAAAAGGACTTGTTCTTTCTTGGAGATGGTATTATTGACTCATTTTTCGGAAAGCACAACAAAAGCCATCAACAGTGTATATATATGTGATATACAGGGTGTCTGTAAAAGGTTGGGACATGGCTCGGCTGTGAACTCCTGGGATGAAAACAAGTTGATTTAGGCCAACTCACCTATATCCAAAATCGTCTCGTTGAGTTGGTACAAGGCGTAGAAGTTTTTTTGGAAAAAAATAATTTTGTTCGTAGAAAGAGTAGGGTGAGATCGATTTTCATATTTTCATAATTTTTGGTATGGCATGTTCTGTGACTGTAGGTCGCGTTTTGAGATGTTTTTGATCATCATCAGCAACCTGCAAGTGTTTCAAACAACCATGTTGCCGTACAAATTTGGTGATAACTTTCCAGAGGTCGGACTGGAAACTTCCAGTTTTTTTTTTCCAGAAAGACATCCCCTTCAGAAATATTTTTTGTATCGTGTTGATTTTTGATGAGTCTCGAGGTTCATTTGCAAATAAATAAGTTCTGATCTGAGGCATCGTCTGCAATTTTTAAAAAAATAATCTGGTTAGGACATGGCTTGACTGTAGACTCCTGGGATGAAAATAAGTTGATTTTAGACAACTTACCTATATCCAAAATCGTTTCGTTGAGTTGGTTCTTTCTCGGAGACGGTATTATTGACTCATTTTTCGGAACTATAGCACAACAAAAGCCATCAACAGTGTATATATATCCGGGAAAAAAGTACTTATGAAAAGTGACATTTTATAACCTGCCAACAGAGATGAAATGCCAAAATTTTTTCCCGTCATAGAAAAAAAAAAACGACTTGTTTTTCAATATACGTGTAGTAGGGCAAATTTGCTCCAAAATTCACTACGTTGAAACATTTTTATATCAGAGTCTAAAAGAAAAATTCAATGGTTTGTCAGTGACACTTTGTTTTGTGAAATGTTTGAAGATAAAAAATAAAGATATATTGAAAAAATATCGAATTTTTACTTATCTTTGGACGTTTCGGGAACGAATCTGCTCCCATTATCAACATGACAAATGCAGAATATTATTGTTGAAATTGTCTAGTAGTATGACACTTCTCAGTGACAGGCTTTGATATTGTCATAAGGTTATGTGACCAAATAATTAAACTAGATAATTTTTTGGATCATGTGAACAATGCCGAACCCACCAAAAAGTTCACTTTGGAAATTGAGTCTGCTACCATTTATGATATTCTTATCAAAAAATCAAATAATATCTTCGTAACAAGTGTATATCGAAAAAAAGACTCATACTAACAGATATCATGAGTGATTTTAATATTGATTTTTTGATACTTCTCTGATGATTTGATTGAAAGTTGTAAAAGATTCATCTCGGATTGCTATACAGGATGGAATTTGCTATTTCAAAATTGTTCCCTGATATCTATATTTTGAAATCAGTATGAAGCTAAAAGTCTCATTTTACATAGTGATTACTCAATGATTTATGTTGAAGATACCTAAAGGTGTTGGGACAAAAAAGTGCCAATTATAGGTTCTTATCATTAAATATTCTGAATTTGTTATGTTATTATCCACCCTGTCAAATAACGAAAAAAAAAACTGTGTGACTGTGACTCTAAGAATCAATATTTTTCATCCAATAGTGAAAAAAATTACAGAAACATTCCGAGACGAAGTTCCTATTAATCCCAATTCAACTGGGTTTAGATTAGACAAGTGGAAAAAGAGGCAAATTCTAATGTCTTTGTGAAATAAATGTTGTCCACTTGTATTCCCGGAAAATAAACAGGTCACAACAAGTCGCCCCAACAATCCAAAATAAAGTAATAAATTAGCTTAGGGCTATAGGGAACAATAAAGAGACACTTAGTCATTAAAGGATTAGCCAAATTACACCAAATATTATAAAATGATTAAGATTTCTTGTTGACGTAGACCCAGGTATATCATTATTTAATGACTTATTGAATATTTTTTGGGAAACTTAATGACTTACAATAACGACAACAAATCATCACGAAATGACGAAAAATATTATTGTGTAGTGAAGATGAAGAAAAATACTTAAATGAAGGGCCAATAACATGATAACATAACAATATGATGCTTATCCAAAAAAAATAACAGTATTATTTAGGCCACATTATTCCTTCAGAATCATAAACATTAAATTTATTCAATACTTGATGATGAATTACGCATATGATTTTCATAATCAATCGATGATTTTGTGTTGAGCATCAATGAGGCTAACTGATGTCAAAATCTGATTTTTCTATCGACATATGAAAATGGAAAATATTTTTTTTTTTTTAATATTTACGGAGGTATAATAGGTAGTACCATGTATTTCATACTGACTGCTTTATATTTTTTGCAACACAAAGTTTGTCAGTCTAATTATGACACACCTGTGTATACAGGGTCTCCCAGAATAACATTCGTATACTCCGGGAGATCCTTCCGAAGGGCGCTACACCCCATAAGGTTTTTTCAATTATCTGTGTTACTATTGATAAAAGAATCACGAATTTTGGCTATGGGTAATTTGTTCAATATACAGGGTGATGCGAAACTCGTAACCGATGCTATGGAAATGCCTAAATTTTTTTTAATTTCATTATTAGTTCCAGAACATGGTTCTTCAAACACATGAACATAAAAAAGGTACTCTTGTTGAAATCCCGCAAAACGAACTGTTGTTTTTCCTTTTGATATCCACAAAAAAATCACCTACACAATATGTTTGTGAAATTTCGTCATTTCCATTGCAAATATTTTCTCAACAAATCAACATCACCTTCGAATCTAACAAAACAAAACTACCTTAAAATGCAATTTTTTTAATCATCAGTCTCCACTTTTTTCATCATAAGAAGAAACGCTCAAAATCATTGTGAATTTTGCCGGAAATCAAAATGGAAAATAACACTTTTTTCGAAAATGGTTCATTAAACGGTAATCCAACAGAGCAAATTTTTTATGTAAAAGTGTCTGAAGAATCACATTCTAACAATGAAAATTTAAATAATTGTGAAAAAAAAATGGGGCATCGGTTACAAGTTTTGCAGTTCCCTGTAAGCTATATCATTTTTTCCCTAGCATGAACCGATTCGTTAGATCAAATTACCCTAGTGTACCAGATTTCGTGATTCTAGAATCAATGATATCAAAGATAATTGAAGAAAACTGCTTTTTTAAAACACTCCTATCTTCTCTCAAAAATAAAATATTGACGTGAATCAAAATCAATTGTGTTAAGAAGGGATCATACTTCAATCCGAAGCATAATAAAGCCAGTTTCAACCACAAAATTTTTCCACAGGGCATTAAGAAGTAAAGGGCGAAATGATAACTTTGGTTTTTCCCTGAATAATGATCAAGTCATCAGATTTCCACGGAAACTAATATTCAGACTAAAATTCCGAAACATAAATATACAATTTGATCAAAATTTCACACAAATCGGACAAGGATTAAAAAAGTTACAGGATGAACAATTTGGGTAGATTTTTTGGTGGCCGTTGTGGGTGTATTTCTGTTTTATGGAGAATCAAAATTGTCAAACTTTCAATGATCGTCCTGTATGTCTCTCATTTTCATCAGTCAAAAATTAAAACAAATTCCGATCGTCGCTGATACTAGTGTATACTCAAAAAATATAAACAATACAAAATGTTTGCAATTCGAAAGTAGGTAAGTGTATCACTGTTTTAGTAAACAACACGGAAAATGCTGGTTCTTGCTTTTTCATTTCGTCCGATTACAAGGGTATTACGACAGTCAATCGAGATATACTCAGAAATCATAATGCGTTTTCGCATTATTTGATTGAAATAAGCGATCCGAAGAATTTTAGACATAGAAATGGTGTTTTTCCCCGATAGAGATATAGGTAAGTAAACCTTAGTATATTTATTGATTTCATGCCACAAATAATACGAATTGTCTACTATAATTGATTGGAATATTAAGTAAGATTTTTTCTACCTGTGTTCCAAAATATACAGGGTTATTGGTAATTAGATACATTCCTTTGGAGATGTGATAGGGAAGGTGGTAATCAGTGAATTAATCCCTAGTCTGCATTATGCAAAAGTTGATTGTTCTTCTGATTTTTAAATTCTGTTTTTTCTCCAAATGCGGCTCAACATTTTTTCAACCTTTCATCTAGAATACATGATCAACACTATAGTCTCACGTTTCAAATGAAAAAAATCCAGAAATAGTTATCATAGATAAATTGTAAACACGAAGTCGTATTTTTGTTTGTGAATAAATAGACAGATATACAGAAAAATGTAAATATCTCAAAAAATATTCACTTTCGCATAATGCATATTAGGGTTAAATTCACTCCCAATAACCCTGTATAAAACATGTATGGTAGATTGACTATAGAATTCACAATTTCGACAGATATTTTGAAAACTGATTGATTTAGACATTCAAAACAGAATCCAGGATCCAGTGTACAGAATCATTCTCGTTCTGAACCTCCAAAAGATTGTACAAGGTGAAACAAATGAATATCGCTGATTTAAAAAATGGGTACCAACTTCGTTATTTTCACTGAAATACCCTATATATTTTTCGAAAAAATTGAAGACCATTTCTGATTTCAAAAATCTATAGGTCGTTGATATTCGGTTCAGCCTTTTATGAAATATTCAAGGCCAAAATTTTAGAATTAGTTAAAATTATTGATTCCTCATGACAACTGCTTTTTGTCAAAAGCAAATTGTAACTAAAAAATCTTCAACACCGAATATTTTGAAAACGGCTGAACCGAATATCAACAACCTATATATTTTTGAAACCAGAAAAGAAAAATCTTCAATTTTTTCGAAAAATATATAGGGTGTTCCACTGGAAATAACGAAGTTGGTACCCATTTCTCACATCATCGATATTCATTTGTTTCCCCTCGTAGAATTTTCCGGAGGTTCAGAACAAACCCAGCAACTTTAGAATGTGAAGTTGTTTCTGTCTTCACTGATAAAACCTGTAGAAGCTGTTTAAATATATGGAATGACCATATACAGAACACCGTGTATATTTTGTAAAAGAAGGTTTATTTTTTCTGCAAGGAATGCGAAGAATGACATCCCAACTTTCATATACTACAGTCATAATACCTTATGTCGATAAGAATAAAGAATCATTAAGGAAATCAACATAGATAACATTATCTACATGTAACCAATATAAACAAATCAATCTAATTTCTCGGACAAAATTGCAATTATCTAGCGATATCTGACTGACTAACACAAGTTACAATTCGAACAATGGGAATGACATTCCGTCAGGTGGAATATTAAAAAATAATGACCATATCTACTGGGAAGACAAGTAATTAAGCAGTACTCAGACTAGACCACCTGGATTCGACCAATAGGGCTCTAAGAGGGAGATCATCCTCACCCCTCTCAATTTGCATAAATACCTGTGGGGATTTAGGTAATGTCATCAGTCTGTGCTTCAGGTTCATTGCAACACCATCAGAACTTCTTTGGTTATCTAGCTTTGATGGCACATTTGGATTCATAAAGCTAGATTTAACAAAGAAATTTTTCTTGGTGACTTCTCGTCGGTTTCAGAAATCGGAAATAACGCGATATAAATTGATTTGATTCATTGAATTTTTTTCGTCAATTCTCTTCGGTGAAGTAATCTTGAGAATTAGTGATAAATAACAGTCTGTTTCATAGTATTTTTTTTATATTTATGCTCATCTGCAACTGTTTCACTATACCTGTATGATGAATTTTTAGGGAGTTAAGGAACTATTGGTGTGATGTGCTGATATTTTGTTCATATCACAGCCTTTAGTTGCTCAACTCTACTAAAAAATGATCTTCCGAGTGCACCACTAATGAAAAAAGTATGTCAACATCATTAAGTAGATTATTTGTGCTTTGGGGCGGTAAGTTTGTTTTTTTTAATTGCATTTTGTCCTGGGTAAACACTGCTCAGGTGATGCTATTTCCTGATCCATCACTGGGTAGATGTTTTCCCAAGAACAAATGCACATTCACCGTTGGATTTCGCAACAGTTTTCTTCGTCTGACAAGCTATACCTGGTTTGATGCGGTTTTTGGTCATCACTGGGTATTAGTTTGTCCGATTAGGGAAACACAATCATCGATTCCATGAACAATCTCTATGATCTAGTATAAATTTATCATTGTGATAGCATTGGGGGTTTTGGATATGGATAAGAATCCTTAACATTTGGTGATTTTGGCTCGGTTTGGTGTTTGTTTAAAACCTCACCGGGTGAGAATCATCCTGTGTTGAGTACCAAACACACCTTTTTTACCAATTTTCGAACATGCTGGCTCTTGAATAACTGTCTAATCAATATTTCAATGTCCGTAGCACTCCATAGCCTTTGACTTGCATATTGTTGTTGGAACGTCAATAAGTGCCACTATTATGAATATTTCATTTCATTCAAATACAATTATTATCGGACGTCAGACTCATTAGAAACGAAACAGTCTTCTTCTGCATTTTTAAACAAGGAATCTGAATATATTCTGTCAAATAATTAAACAGGGTCTTGGCTTCTGAGATGATTGCAAATGGAAGTAAGTCTTTTTGATCTTTATCTCATGAGACTCATTTGTTTCAAAGTGGAAGGACACTGAATAAGTTATGGAGAATACAAATAAAATATGAAATGTTTGAATCTCTTTTAAATTCAATGTCTCTCCTATACGTCAATATTATATTTTGCTGTTCATAATAAAGATATGTTTCAACTTCAGTTTCATTGATTTTTGTGTTGACCTAGTAGATTGTAGTACTTATAACGATGACACTTCGAATCCAAGTATTCTATGTGTTTCTCCCTAATATGTTGATACAGGGTGAATTGAAAAAGCAAACATATCAAAATTTGCCGTTGAATAACCAACACCCTGTATGTAGTTCAGTCAATAAATGGGTTGTAGAGTACATGGAAGAGGACAAAAGTTTTACATGTTACTAGGGATGTGTTTGGGGTAGATAGGAAGTAAAAATTCCAATAGTCCCATAACTTACAAGATGATCCAAGAACAGGGGGTGACGTAGAAGGTCCATTTCTGTGATTTATCACTAAAATCGCTAAAACGGTACATCACAGCAAAAAAGTCAATCTGCTCAAAATTGTAGCTGATAAAATTGTCTACGAAAATGTGCCTGAAGGGTTTTCCCCTATCTTTCATAGTTTTCGAGATATTCGCTAGTGAATAATGTTTTTTAAAATCGTTATTTTATCTAGCCGACTCCTTTAGTTTTTCATCAAAGTCTTCGCCGAAGAAGTCGCAAAGGATTCAATTACCTTGAAATGTTTGTCACATATGCATTTTTTTAATCATATCCTGAGCTCAGGATTCTATGGTTGAAATATAGTAATGATACACCCTGTATATGTATGTATACATTTTGAAGGTAATTAAATCTTTTGTGAGTTCTTCGTCGCAGACTCTGGTGGAAAACTGAAGGTTGTGCTGTCAAATTTGGCTAGATAAAAAACAATTTTCGAAAATCGACATGATTTCCTAGCGAATACTATAAAAGATAGAGAAGAAACCTACTGACACAATTTTGTAGAAGATGATATGACCTACAATTTTGAATAGATTGACTTTTCTGCTGTGAAGTACTGTTTTTATATTCGTCGCCCTCTGTACTTGGCTTGTCAGTTAGGGAATATTGACTTCCCATCTACTCCAAACGCATCCCTATTATGTCCTCTTCCATATCATCTTTACCCCTTTTTGGGCGTTGTTCGTTGCGTTCAAATTGTCTCACCTTATTGGTGAGGCAGTTCAAGAAATCCGCTTTCATGTCGCTGACAGACACCCTGTCGTTGGGCCTTTTGGGCCCGCTGACAGACGAAACGACGGTGGCTAAATCGAGGCCGACGTTCTGGCTGAAGACGGGGTCGGGCAGCTCGGAGGAGTAGTCCCTCAGCTGCTTGGTGGCCTTCAGGTAGGCCTCGATCACTCTGATCTGTTCGTCGGACCGATCTGCAAAGCAGTAAGGAGTTAGGTACACCTAGAGTCCCTGTATATACTTTAGACAAGAGTCCGGACACAAAACTGACAGCCGTTGGGGTTTTTAATATTTTGTTTCATTTGGTTTGCCCACCTGACAATGTGACGAAACACCATAGTCGTCTCGCCCACTTTTTTTAATTATTGTATGTTTCTTGGGAATAATAATAATAAAGATAAAAAAAAAATAAAAAAAAAAAAAAAAAAAATTATTTCAATGTCCTGCTGCGTACATTATTGCGATAATTCATTAGAAAAGGGATTCGAGTTATTCAATTTTCCGAATGATCCTTTAAAGCTAATGTCATGGAAGAATGCAATGAAACGTCCAGAATGGAAGAGGTGAGAAACCGACACAATTAAAATTATATTGAAACAATTATACATCTTCTATTTTTTTATATCCCAATAGAAAACAACTATATTTTCTTGGCCATATGTGATACCACGTAGAACACTTAAATTATCTTTCTTATATCTAATGAAGGAAAGAAATATCTGATGACGAAAATTTGCAATAGCCATCTCAGGAATTGATTACGAAAATTATCGATTCGAAATTTGAACACCTTGTTGTTCATTATTTGAAAATCTAATAGTTATTCTAGTTAAAATAGCCCTATTTCTCACTTCTACCTACGGCTATGAACGGTTTGACAAATAATCTAACCCTCAAAATTGTTTCTGACAATCATTGATACTAGGGGAATTGAAAAGACAGAGCTCGATATATATGTCTTATTCCTTTATTCAATCATCAATGCATTTTTTGAAAACAGAAAAGGACAGAAGTATAGTTGTGTCCCATTGTCGATCTAAATGGAAACCTAGTTAGGTAGTTAGTAGGCGAGAGCATAATATTGTCTGTTCTTTGAAAAAATAAATGAAGGCGTTCAGTAGTACAGAGACATCAATGTGAACCAAGTAAACTAAGTTATTCATTTGTCAGACCTAACCGTAACATTTTTCATGGTCCTGTCAAGTTTGTAAATAAAAATCTGTCATGTGGAATCCCGAAAATGAAACATTATCACGAAGGATATTATCAAGTATGAAAACCATCTACCTATACTTGAATGGAAGCAGGAAGATGTTTAGGCAATGCTGTATTAGTATGATTCATGATGCAACTTGAATTTAAGTTGAAACTGTGGAAACTTCGGAAACTCAATAGTGCTATTACACTTTTTCGACATGCAAGCCAAGCAGAAAGGTAGGGGCTGCTTTTTTCCTTCTATATTTTTGATAAGTTACTCTATAATTCGTGAAATTCCATTATTTGCAGTGAAAACATGTCTTTAGTGATGTAAACCATGTACACATCGGAATCACTATATACTTGAAAATTTCAGGTACCTACCTACAGCGAAGAGTACTTACATTAATAGCTTTTCAGTTGAAAAACGGAAAACTATGAGTGATGTGGAAGTATTACATTAGAAATCATTATGTGAGTAATGTTCAGAAGGAATGTACCAGAAGGATGATGATGTTCCAGAACAGAATGGAAAATTTACCATCTGAAATAAATATATAGAAGCACTAAGGTTAGACTCAATCTGGTTATTTCATCAATGTCTCATGGATATTCTGCTCCAAACACCAAATATCATTATATTTTTTATAGATAGGTACCTCCTTGAAAGTCGAGCCAGTTCACAAGATTTTATGAAAAAACACACAAGAAAATGGGGCAGTGAATAAAATCAGAAACTTTTCATCCTGTAGTTCGATGAGCTGAATCCAGATAAGCAGTAAGAACAACGATTTGTTTGCTGGAAATAGCCAGGCATTTCATTCTAGGCTACAAATTATACACACCCCAATGTATATTCAATTTATCCATTTTTCAAGCAATCAATTAGATGATGAGGAACATGTGATATTCCACTCCAGCACACTCAGGACCATTTTCGTAGTGAGCCACTCAGAATTTCACTAGAGTAAAGTGATTTCAAGATTGTATAGGAATCATCCTCAGATATATGGTATTCTATTGTTCAGGGTTCTTTGTCAAGATGCTGGGATATTTAAATTTTTTTATTGGAATATAACTTGTATGTATTGTATGAATGGCAATACAATTTATTTTTTTTAATAAATTGTACATAATTATGAAGAATTATTTCAATTTTTATTCTACTATATAGTTTGTTCTCTTCTGATACCCTGTTTATTGTTGTACAGATGTATTGGCAGATAAGTTTGAAAACACTATATATATTGTACAAATATTGTATATAGGTGAAGTATTTTTGAAGTAAAACAATGATTATTTTTTATTAAATCATCTTATTGAAGCTACGAACTTCACTAAATATGAGAAGATGTGTCTATTATTGGCACAAATTAAACCACAGGAATATTCAATACCAATATGTATCTTTTTAATTCATATTTGAGTCAACATTTTGAATGAACTTTATTATTATTCATTGTCATTCTATAATATCTGTTCAAATGCCTGTTTCCTCCTCAGATGCTTCTTCATCGTCAGGGAATTCCTCTTCAGCATCATATTCCAAACAACATTGCCGAGTCTGAAAATATAAAAATATTGTCCCTAGTTTCAATGTCCTGTACCATTCTGAAATGAATTTAATGACTTTTGACTATGGAACAACTTTTAGAGGAACCAAAGTCAAGTTCTTGGTGAATTTCATACCGAAACTAATAATTAGTTAGTTAGTATAGGTACAAATTTGTTAAATACCATTTTATTTATATATTTCTACCTTGAACAAACTTGGGACCGTACTCTCTTTCCAAAACCGTTTCCTATTCTTCATTGGCAAGAAACAGTTCCCTTAAAATGTTGGAAACATAATATAGTATCATGTTCGCTTACTTCAAAAACTCACATTCCTGAAATATAAATATCATTAAGTTCCAAATATTATGTGATTCAAGAAAAAAAGTCCACCTTGATATCCAATGAATATGGCGTGAACCCATTGACGCCTCAGGATTTGAGGCTCAAATTCACAACAGTGGGGATTGGGGAAACCATGTCTTGATAATTCAATTACACCTTCACCTCCTGGAGTGCGCAGTTTTCAGATGACATTGCAAAATAACACAATCGCACTCACAAACCAATCAACGAACTCTGATAGAAAACCAATACTAGAAGAAATGATTAGGTATAGGTATAATTGTAATTTCCAAGAAAGGAAATCAAAGTTCAACACATCCACAAAGACGAAGTTATAAGTTAATGACAACTGTCAGAAAATAATTTTATGATTACATGAATCTTCTCCATCGTCTTCCTATCAAATATCAAATATCACGTCAATGATGGAAAGCACGTCTGTGGTTGAGTACATATTGGAGAAAAATAGAAGAAGAGAATATCAACCTAATATGGTCTATTTTGACAGAAACAAATGAGCTTTTTCCATTTTCAGGATGCCAGCGCCACTTGACAGGCAGACAGATTTTGATTCAAAGAACAGACAATATTGTACCTCCTCGCGTACTAGGTCGCCTACTAGGTTTTCATTTAGATCGACAATGTTGTGTCCGGACTCTTGTCTAAGGTATATACAGGGACTCTAGGTACACCGGGGTTAGTGTAAATTTGGGGCAAGTGGAACCGAGGCTATCCATAATGGACCTACCCATATCCCCTGAGAGATCAGTGATATATCAAGCTACCAACCCAAGAATTACAGCTCGACATTGCTGATTTTTGAATAGTGTCCATATCGTTCATCCGGAAGAAAAGAGTTACATCTTAAAAAACTTTTTGTTTTCAGAAGAAGCATTTTGATATTGGTTGAAATTTCAATTGACTTCATCTTTTCAATCGTATGATCGATACTGACTGTTCTTCGAGCGAACTATTATCCATAAACCCTCTGGAGGTCGGCATAGTATCAGCTCTCGATTTTGTGTGGAAACTATTCATTATTGGTCAAAATCTTTTACTATCTACTGACATTAAATTGGAACAGATACAGGGTGATCAGGATTCTGAATCTTGAGCCTCGTCTTCGACTCAGGAGAATTTTCAAAATATTCGTGTTCTCGGAAAAATTTCCGGAAATAATTGAAGCTCTTGTGATATTATAAGTGGATATTCAGAACATTGTGATATTACTTATGATAGTAGTGAATAAACGTCTCACTTTGCAATGAAACCTGAAAATTATAAGCCTCCAAATTTAATGCACTGTTACATAAAATATTTCGATTATTTTCACAATCTGGTGTGGTTCCTCTCTTATTTTCATCAAAATAAAAGTATATTAGAAAAAAAAAGATAATCATAAGATCGAGAAAAAAGCGGTTTCCAATTTCCTTAAATGATTGTTCCAAACAAAGTATGTGAGTATAAAATTGAATTTTAAGCAACTTTTTTGGAAAAGTTTTTCTTTATTTTTAGCAATCTATCTAATCCTATTTTTTGCCTCTTTATAGTCATTTTTTTTAATTCACTAGTGATCACGTGACCTGTGTCAAAATCAATTTTTGCATAATAGATCCCCGAGAGAATATTTTTCAATACTCTAATAATGGACTCTTTTCCCATATGTCATTGCCTTTATGGGTGAAAGTGTATATGTAGAAAGAGAGAGGTTCTTTTGGAGTATACCATACCCCACTACACAGTTAATGTGATATTTTGGTACCACACAGTTGAAGGGTTAATCAAAGTTATTGTATTTGAACTTTTTGTTTCATCTGAATGATACCTACTTGTTTGTCTCAAATAATCCAATGAATTCTGGTCGACAGGGAAGTATCCAACCGTAGCCCCATATTCAGGGCACATATTGGCAATGGTAGCTCTATCGGCTATGGAAAGAGCAGAGACCCCTGGGCCGTAAAATTCCACGAACTTTCCCACCACACCCAACTGACGCAAATTCTACAAAATAATGATAAATATAAATAGCAACGATCAACAAGAGTGAGATATTTTCAATGACCATTGAATAAAATGCTAACCTAAACGATATTCAAGAGAGTTTAACAACAACAAAAAGTGATGTTTTTGAGACTGTGGTTGAATGATCAAATACAAAAATTTACCCGAAATACCACAATTATATCAAGAAAAACTTGAATATGTATTTCGGCAATTGTTGACGGCAAAGTTGCCATCATCATCTTAGATATTCTTCAGAAATCATCAGCAAGAGTCATTGCTGATATTGGTGATATCTCATTTATGTCTAATTATTTCACGTTTCAGGAAACGAATTCATTTCACTCAACATCGCGTGGAATGTAAATACTTATCAAATTGCGTTCAATTTTCTATCGTTTGTAACAACTTTAAGAAGTCTCAAATTATCTAAAAATGATAGGGTGACTAGTCTCGAAATATTAATTTATCAAACCAATTATACAGGGTGTTTCAAAAGTCAGTATCAAGATTTCTGTGGGATTATTTTTTCGATCAAAATAAGATTTTTTCCCTATAAACATGTGTCCGCAAACACTTTGTTACCAATCTACAGACTTGACACTTCAAGATTTTTTCCGTTTTTCTTTATAGTTCTTTTAGTTTTCGAGGTATTCAGATTAAATGTGGTACATAGTCTATGTTTTAGTGTTCACATTATACAGTATGTCTAATGATTGTAAGAATCTACAGGGAGATATTTCTTCATGGGCCAAGCCCATTTTCGCTCCATGAACTTTTTTGTGGTACGCCACGGGTAGATATTGAAATACAAAATGATTTATTTATTTCGATTGTGAACTTTCTTGTCTCTTGTAATTTTTACGTATCTGCGACCGTTATCGAGAAAAAATTTTTTTTTTACCTATTATCACAATTGAAACAAAAGACACCACTTATTTTGTTCGTGATCTTTATAATAAGTTTCCAAACATAACCTAAAGAATAAGAAACCGAAAAAACTTTGACTTTTTATAAAAAGTGTTAGAAAATAAAAAAATCTCAACTTATTCTGACCTAAAAAATAAGCCCCTAGAACCTTGACACTCAATTTTGTAACACAGTATATTTGAAATGGGCAATATGTTCTTCAAATCATGTACCTATGCTTCCACTTGTTTACCCAATGTTTTTCAACAGCAATAAATTTTATCTATAAAGTTACACAGAAGGCTTCTGTCGTTCAGTTCTTATGAGTTAAAAATACTATTCAAATTCCGTGTGACTTGGGCCCCTAGCTGGGGTTAATCCTAAACTGGTAGTTACATGAACAATAATTATTATATCTGTGTGAAATGCATCTCTAAAGATAGCAGTTCATTTGGCATTCACAGTTTGCTTTTGAATGTTTCAATCTGATGAGAATTACCTTAGTTACAGTAAGTACCAAATCCGTTGAAGTGACATACTGATTCAATTCTCCGTACAGCTTGTAGCCAACCACTTGGGGCAACAACATGCTGATGGTGTGTCCCAGCATCACAGCCTCGGCTTCTATGCCGCCCACGCCCCAACCTAGTACGCCCAGACCGTTTATCATGGTTGTATGAGAGTCTGTGCCGACCTGAGTGGATGATAATAATAAAAAAATATTGAATTGAGTTCAGGTGAAATGGGTATGAGAAATTGGATGAATCGATAAAACTTTGTAGTACAATGAATAGATTGAAATAGTATATTATTCGACGAGCGTGTAATGATGGCCATTACTCATGAGAATGAAGTTTGCGACGTGAGCCGCAGGCGAACGTCGTAATCATTCGAATGAGTAATAGCCATTACACGCAAGTAGAATACTATACTTTTTCTATGACTGAGTGGTGAACTGGTTGAGTTCATCAGCAGTGAATATCTTCGCTTTCTTTGACATACATCCATCAGATTTCTTTTTTAGAAATGCTCGTAATTTCAAATATTTGTCAATATTCACATAATTTTTTATTGAAATTGTGCTTCTTAGTATATGCATGGAATACTGTGACCACAAGGAGGATGCTTTGTGTTTAGCTGCTAATTCACCGGAATAGGCTAGCAGTACATTATCCGAAAACGAATTTGCAAGTTTTGCTTTTCGCCAAACCACTTCATACCTTTTTTTAGATTCCTCGGGCAAAAGGCTGATTGTACTTGAATTGACAGCTTTCAAAACTTCTGATGGTGGAGAGAGAATTCATTTTCGCTTTCTGAATCCATATTTGCACAAAAAGTCAGTTCTAAATCACGCCAGATAGCTATTGTCAAATCATGACATTTCATGACGAGTCTGATTCAAACGTTTCACTGCATGCCCCATATTATCAATACAACTGGTGTCAACTGTTTTGTAGGTAATGAATCTGCCTTGTTGCTGATTGGCCATAGCCTGTTGTGTAAAAGCTCTTACACACGGGGCGTGGCTTGTTTTGTGTAATGCATCCAGTTACCCAACAAAAATGTTACATTAAAAGGGTCTAGTTTTCAACAGTCATAGAAAAAAATTCGTAATAGGTAAGGCATTCTACAGTATTGAAGAATTTTTTCTAAACGTTGATGTAACATAATTCAGTAAAAAAAAAAATTGTTGGCTGTGTAATTTTCACTTGTGATAAGTAAATAACCTTTCTTGTGTTGTATTCATTAATTAACAATTATTAAGAGTGTTAGTCTTTGTGTAAACAAAATTTTCCTAGGTATGTGTAATATTTCTACACTTTCCTTTTTTTGTGACAAGCTGGACAAAATGTGAATATGTCTTAGTTGTACACCATTTACACTTTAATCTAGTAATAAAGTTGATTTGATTTGAAATTATTGATTTTAGTAATGTTGGCAACAGTTTTTGTTCATCGTACAGGGTGGACCACCAGTAACGCCTCGGTCTTTAGAAGGCTAACCACAAATCTTGTTGAAATTCTTCCTCTTTAGGACGTTGCATGTCAACATAGGCTACCATTTGAAATTATTTCGAAACATACAGGGTGTCCCAAAAAAAAACAATCCACTGAAGTTATACTTTTTTTAATGGAACACCCTATACATTATTTCATTTCGAAATTCTCCCGGAATAGCTGATTTCAACGACCCATCGTACTTGGGGTCTAGCAGTAATTCAGGAATTGTTTGTGTCGAAACTATTCATAATTGGTCAAAATGATTTGCATATCCCTATCTCAATTTTTTTATTTACTATCGATTGGTATTTAATTGAAATAGATACAGGGTGGTCAAAAATCTTAATTCTGAACCACAGTGGATAAAAAGTTGAGATAGGAAGTATGATGGCTCGTTGAAATCAGCTCATCAAGGAGAATCTCAAAATGAAATAATATGTAGGGTGTTTTGCGATTCTTGGGGACACCCTGTATGTTTTGAAATAATTTCAAATGGTAGCCTATGTTGACATGCAACTTCCTAGAGAGGAAGAATTCCAAGAAGATGAGTGGTTGTCCTTCTAGAGACCGAGGCGTTACTGGTGGCCCACCCTGTATAATCAAACTTCTGAATTCACATTCTGATTCACATTTTACTCTATCCACAGCTTTTGCAGATGATAGTAAGAATTTTCATCTCTTCCCAGGAAACTAAGAACTTACAACGAAGGAAGGCCAACGCTGTCGATAAGGATCTACAGAAAGGCGAAACTCAGTATGCCTGATATAACAATGTCTAGTACCACCATTCCAAGCAGTATTACCATCAGCAATACTCTTTCATGGTAAATTCATGTCCAATCCATCTATTTTACACTTCAACAGCTTCTCATGATCTACAGAGCACATATACGACCAGATTTAGAATACTGTTCTCATGTATGGGGTTCAGCACCCAAACATATGCTGATGCTCTTAGATTTCATCCAGAGAAGAGCCATCCGCCTGGTGGGTGATGCCACACTCACCAGCTCTTTGACCTCATTAGAACACCGTAGAAAAGTCGGCGACCTTTCACTTTTCTATAGATAATTCCACGGGAAATGTTCCTCAGAAGTCTCTGCTATAATTCCATCACTAGCAGAACCAGTCAGACGAACTCGACAGGCCCAGTCAGCACATCCCTTATTCGTTAACCTTGGAAAATGTCGAACAACACTCTACCAAAACTCGTTCGTCTATAGAACGGCGAAGCTTTGGAATTCTTGGCCAATGGAAGTGTTCCCAAGAACTGATAACCTCCAATAGCTGAAAAAAAATCCAACACCTACCTCCTTTCACTATCTTCCCTAAGTATGCACGATGTTCCAACATTATACGAATTTCCTTTCGTGCGCTCCAAGAGATAAAAAATTCAATATTGAATTTCAAGTGATAAAAAACAAATTGAAGAGGGAACAAATTGATTACAAAAGTCATTGATATTTCCAGTGATTCTGATTTGCCAGACGCAAACGCTTTTTTATCAACAATATTATTTATATAACCATTATATTGACATTCAGAATGAATACAAAAAGTCATCATAATGCATGAAATCACATAATATATATTATATTTCCTAAAAATTTCAATAAACATCCGTTCATTTCTTATCTGTTCATATTATTTGTTGAATATGATCAAAATAATTTTCAGAAACAAACATAACAACATTGATGAAAAACAACTAGACCACAACTACCACAAGAATATATTAAATGGATAACAAATGTTTTTATTGAAATTTCATATCATAGTCCACATACTATTGTATCAATTTCAATTCCTCAATATTATGATGAATTATTGATTAGAGCATAATGTCAATCAACCCAATATTTTAATTTCATTCTTCAAATAATATCAACTGGAATTTATAATTCTAGAAATAGTAGTCTCCCATGTTTTACAAGTAGATACTCTTGAATAACTTTCTGTAGATATTCAGATTAAAATTCAAATAAGTACCTATTAATTCTGTAAGTGAAGATGAGAGGCTTAGATTGTTCCAATTTACTTCTATGGTAAATTGGAATTTCATCATAGTCTGCAAGATTAGTTATTTATTATAAAGATATTCTTACATAAAGAATGGCTATACTCCAATATTCTTTCCCTTAATTCTTATAAGACCCAATATATAATTTTCCATCAAAGAAATAAACAAAATATTGATTTGAATATCAGAATAAAAAATGAGAGATTGAAACAAACTGTCTATACCAAATACCTTGGTATTTGGATTGATGAAAAGTTAACATGGAACAAGCATATTGGCATGCTCAAAGAAAAAATTTTCCCCATAGTTGGTGCCTTAAGAAGATGTCCAAAACTTATCCCAAATATAGCAAATATCGTTCTATACTCTCACATCCTTAGTAAAATGAACTATCTCATAAATATTGGGGTTCATGTTCCAAGAATAATTTCAACAAAATATCTGTACTAAATAAAAAAGCATTGAAAGTACTGTATCGTCTTCCATATGACACCCCATCAAATCAACTTTATGCAGAAACAAATACATTTTCTTTGGAAGAGCAAAATTTATCAAATTTCCTTTGATATTATCAACAAACACCTCAAATCTAAGGAATTCCCAAATCCATGAATATCATACTAGACAATATGACTTGTTTCATCTTGATGCTGCTAACTCTACACTTGGTCAAAAAAAGTTCACTCACGGAGCTATCTCAAAATTCAATAAATTACTTGATAATATTAAAAGTTGCACAAATATCACCCAATTCAAGATCAAAGTCAAGAAACATATCCTCTTGCAAAGAGAAAATCAAACCTGAGTGAATGATTTCTCATTCACTAATTTATTTCATCATGCCATAATGTACTTTTCATGAGATTTTTGTTTTATTATAATTTTTTTTGACTCTGTCAATAACTATAATTTAATTTGATAACACAAGAATAATCTCATACCAGATATGAATCTGTCTGATTATTCATGTTATTCCATTGTAAATGTTAATGATTATATTTATATGAAATGCAATGTTTATAGCAAAGAATGGAATAAATAAATGAAATTTTATAATAAGGTTATTTTACAGAACACATCCTGGATTGATAAATAGTTCTGATTTCATCATCAATATATGTCTACAGTAGATGGGTTCTTCTGTTTTTTCATCCTAAACAAATAAATAAGTTTGTCTTCCAATTTATCATAAGTTTTCCAAATTTCCAAACAGATACTCTTTTCTACAAGATATTGAAAGCAAGAATTAATCATGACCTGATTCAACAGAAATATTAATGACATATGATTTAAGTATCCACACACTTACCACTGTATCAGGATAGAGTACAGAAGTATTTTTATCAGTAAAAACAACCCTAGCCAAATATTCCAAGTTGACCTGGTGAACAATTCCACTGCCTGGTGGCACTATCAACATGTTGTCAAATGCTTTGGCACCCCACTTAAACAAAAAACAAAATTTATCTGAAATCATCATTGGAATGTAGGTAATAAATTACCTTCAGAAACACAAATCTTTCCTTGTTCCTTTCAAATTCCATATCTTGATTTTTTTGCAAAGCATCAGGACTGTAAAATGATAATCAATGACAATTTTTCAACCTTTGATTGTACCATTGAACCCAGCACAAACTTACGATCTGACAAAATCCACTTGAATAGAATGATCAATAACCAAATCAGCAGGACAAATAGGGTTGATTTTTTCAGGATTTCCTCCCAAGCTTTTGACTGCATCTCTCATAGCAGCAAAATCAACAACAGCAGGCACACCTGTGAAATCCTAAAACATTGTTGAATGATTCAGATGTGAAAAAAAAAGTTTGCAAAATGTATTTACTTGCAGAATAACTCTGGCAGGTTTGAAAGGGATTTCAATGCCTCCTTCCAAGTTTTGATTGGTCTCCCAATTTAGGATGCTCTTCACATCTTGTTCTGATATATGAAAATTGTCACAGTTTCTCACTGCTGACTCCAACAATACCCTGATGGAATAGGGTAAACGATCTAAAATCATTAAAAGTGAGACATTCTAAAATATCAGATCTAAAATCATTAAAAGTGATATTCTAAAATATCAAAGAGATCAGGATATTTACCATAGTTGCAACCCAGTTGTGGTATGTCATAGTATTTGTATTCTTTTCCTGCTATATTTAAAGACTTCAAGTACTTATCAAAGGGATTATTACCTAAAAAGTCCAAATTTGATTGTTTAGGTTGATTCATCATCAAGTATAATCTCAATGCTCATTAGGTATGGACTGGTGTATAGATAATGAATTAAACATTTAGAACCTAGAACCATCTAGAAACATATTATATTCTTCTTGGCAGACAAGACAAATTACCATTTCCACAAAGAATATGTATGTTTTTGGGGACTCCTTAATGATAATGTGGATAAGAACATGTTCTTTTTTAATATAATATGATTTTCTGATGAATTATAAATTGAGTCTGTCTATTCTATATACCTACCAGCCATTGTTTATCCTCAGGAAGTCACGTATACCACCTGAAAACTGAAAAATATAGATTAATAATTTGTTCCTGACATAAAGGACATATCTACCTAATAAGGGATAAGGGGCCTGAAAATCTGTAATTTTACAGACGTTTATACATAGTAGTCACCATTAGAAGCTTAAATATTCCAACTTACTTTATTATTTTCCTGTTCACAGTTATGGTAATGGAGTTTTAAAACAACTTCTCACTTTTCAACTTTCATTACATTCCAAGTTGTCCACTACTTGGTAAATCGTCAAAACGAAATTGAATTATTCAACTCGTTGTTGGTTATTGGCTTATATTCCTTGCCTGAGGAAATACTACAAAGGTGAAGAATTCGTGATTATTTACAATTTATTATTCACTAGAAAATTTTGATTGATGAAATCTTGCTCGTATTTGTGATGACTGATGATTGATAAACTGACAACTGACTGTCTGAAGTCTGACATAAGCACGATGACATAACGAACGACAGTGACAGTAGTGACAGTGTCAACCAAGACCAAGGTCTATCAACTTCTGACTGGTGTGAGAGCATGATTTCGTTTTGCCCAAATATATGTAAAAGAATCAGTCTCCCTTTCAGTCTCCTGATGATGAAGAGACAGGAAGAAGGACGAATCCATATATCGAGAAGATATTAACATAACATGCTGATTGCAATCTGTTTATCAAATTCTAATATAATATAGGCAAATTGAATATTGAGAAAATTCCATATATGACTTCAACGAAAGATAAAATTCCTGTTCGTGAATTCGACATTCGAAAACTTTTCTGGAATAATGTTCCACGATTTTTATTCAATCTAAATTCACTTTTTCTCAATATTAATAAAATACATTGCGGCTCGATAACAATAATTCTTTTTTTCAAATGAAATGACCTATATTATTTTTCATAATTCTATATGAATCATATACAGTGTGACCCACTTCTAATAATGGAAACACCCCTCTGTATCTTACGTAATCGTTAGGCGAGTCGTTAGGTAAGAATCCTGAAATTTGCTGGAGCGAGAGATATACCAAAAATGCACTATATGACCAAATGGTGATATACACTGCTCGCCAACGGTCATGGAATCACCCCCAATTTCCGAAATGATATTTGGAGTCAAAATTTCATTGCTCAGACATTACAATAGCAATTTCGCTCGCCGTGCCCTCGAACGAAGACAACTTCTTTTAACATGCCTTTTATACATCTCAAATTATTGGAAATGAACACGCTTGCAGCTCGCAGAAGAATATTATTGTGAGAAAGTTCTGTAGTTTGTAGTTCTGTATACGCGTACGGTTTATTCGAGTGATAAAAAAAAAGAGCTCGAGTTATTAAAAGTGAACAACTAAAAATTACCTTCGGTGTAGTGATCTTATTTTCATTTGAGTGCATGAAAGTTGTCTCTTTTCAACATGGTAAGTGTGTGTTGATTGATTGTCTTCATTACCGCAAGAAACATTATTGTTTGTAATAGGGGTATATACAACAAAACATACATAATAACATAATAAATCGAAACAATAATAGTTGCACAATAATTGTTTTTCATAAAAAGTACAAATAATCAAATGTTAAATGAATAGTAGATGTGTGGAATTAAATTTTACTGAGCAGATATTTTTTAATTTGATTTTAACATTTTCTTCTTCTATATTTTTCAACTCATTAGGTAAGGAGTTAGTTATATAAAATTATTCCATTATGGAATATTGATTGTTTACCAAAGTTTGACTTATAATTACTTGCTATCAATAAATTAAATTGCCTTGTTTCATGGGCGTGAATCGTATTAACTTCATTGAGATTCAAATTTGATATTTTCAACAAATTTAGAGTCTATACAATGAAACTAAATTCAGAAAGTCTTTAGGTTTGTATAGATTCACAGTTGATTCTAAAATGGGTGAATTAAAAATGCACTCTATTGATTTATTTTGTAATTTCATGAGTGTCTTCTAACGTGAAATATTTGTACTTCCCCAAATAGATATTAGATATTGTAAATTTGAATAAAAAAGACAGAAATAAATACTGTGTAGGTATCTAACAGGAATGACAATTCGAATTTTATATATAATACCAGCAATTGGATTCAATTTTTTCCTCAATGATGTTACATTTGTATATTCAATGGATTTGTTAATGCTGATGAGTATTCCACATTTTGAATGACCTTTTCGAATTTTTAGAAATCACAATGGCCCGGAAATTATGGAAAAAAATTGAAATTGTTGAAATTTGTTAAGTGGATATGAAATTTTGTGAAACAACCCACTTTATTTGTTATTTTTTCATAAAAACTTCGAGTTTGACGAAATTTTGAATCATTTTCAGAGACAAAACAATTCATGAACATCAAATTTGCGTGAATAAACATATTCTCAAGATACGGACTTTAACGGTGACACTGTATATTAAATTTCTTTCTGAACCACACCTCGTATACATAATTTTCGATGTGATAAGTCAGAAATACAATTCCTGTTCGAGAATTATTCCGTTAGAATGATGACGTAACTGATGAATCACTAAGGAGGTTAATCATGCATTCGATACCGGTGGCGACGCAGTATTGCATTAGATTTCATCGCGTGCAGTCGATCTGATTGATTTGAAAAAATAACTTATATTGTTTACACGTAGGAATAAAAATGTATGGTGTCATTGAGTGATTATAGTGAGATGTTTGTGTGTGTGTGAGTGAGTTCTGGTGGAATTTTTCAGCAATAAAAAGACTGGAATGTTGTGTATTGTTGTTGTTCTTCATTTTAGATATGGTGAGTGATTTTTTTAATATTTTCTTTCTATTCATATACGGAGTGATTGAATAGAAATCAATAGAACAAGGTGCCAAATTATTTTCCATTTTGTGAAGACCGTGGAACAAATTATTTGCAAAAGGTCTTCGATCTCATCTCAATAGTCTGGAGGGCACTGCACTTGCTTTAAAATCAATACATAATTCACAATCGAATTTCCTATTGATTGAGAATATTGTATACTGGGTGTCCCATTCAGAGACATTGAACTTTTTGTTTTTTAGAGCTTATAAAATTTCGTATAAAACGGTTAAACATGAAATAGAATGAAGTAAAATCTGATTTCTTCTATCAGTACTTCCGAAATTTTCTAAATTATTTCTGATTTCAATTTACCATTTTTTTCAATAATAATCTTATATGCATGGTGAACTAACTTCGTGTGATGAATTCATGAGTAACTTTTTTTAATGGAAATCCCTTTTTTTTATTTTCGGATTTTCTGCTGAGCTGATTACAAAAAAGGATGAAAAGTTTCTTGAAATTGGTACAGGAGGTCAAAAATTTTCAATAGTTATTTTTCTTCTACTAATAATTAATTCATGTGACACTTCAGAATCTTTTTCGTTCGAAAGATTGATTTTTCGACTTTGTGATTTTCTGACAGAAAATGTCTAATTATTAATGTCTAATTAGACAGTTACTGATTTGCAAAAATCATCAACTTCATTTTGTACTTTTTCCAAAGTAAGAACAGTTCATGAAATCCTAAGTTGCACAAACTGAATATAAAAAAAAATTCTATATGATGCGGACTTCAACGGTGACAATGTATACTGAAGTTCTTTTCACCCCACACTGTATACCTCCCATAGAATCAAACAAATCGGCCATCAGTCTCGTATTAGATTTCAACGCGTACGGTTTATTCGAGTGATGAAAAAAAAGAACTCGAGTTATTAAAAGTGAAAAACTAAAAATTATCTTCGGTGTAGTGATTTTATTTTCATTGGAGTGCATGAAAGTTGTCTCTTTCCAACATGGTAAGTGTGTTGATTGATTGTCTTTATTACCCCAGTAAACATACATATGACATAATAAATCGAGACAATAATAATTGCACAATTATTGTTTTCCATAAAGAAAAATATAATAAAATATAAAATGAAAATATTTTAATCCATTACAAGTAATCAAATTGTGAATGATTTGTAGATATGGAATTAAAGTTTACTGAGCAGATATTTCTTTAATTTGATTTCAAGATGTTTTGCTTTTTCTATTTTTTTCAACTCATTAGGAAAGGAGCTATATAAAATCATTCCATTATGGAATATTGATTGTTTACCAAAGTTTGACTTATAATTACATGCTATCAATAAATTAAATTGCCTTGTTTCATGGGCGTGAATCGTATCAACTTCATTAAAATTCAAATTTGATATTTTCAACAAATTTAGAGTCTATATAATGAAGCTAAATTCAGAAAGTCTTTAGGTTTGTATAGATTCACAGTTGATTTCAAATTGAGTAAATTAAAAATGCACTTTATTGTTTTATTTTGTAATTTCATGAGTGGCTTCAAACATGAAATATTTGTACTTCCCCAAATAGATATTGGATATTGTAAATTAGAATGAAAAGGACAGAAATAAATACTGTTTAGGTATCAAACAGGAAAGACATTTCGAATTTTATATATAATACCAGCAATAGGATTCATTTTTTTCCTCAAATTATGTTACATTTGTTTATTCAATGGATTTGTTATTGCTGATGAGTATTCCACATTTTGAATGACCTTTTCGAATTTTTAGAAATCATAATGGCCCGAAAATTGGGGAAAAACTTGAAATTTGTTAAGTGGATATAAAATTTTGTGGAATAAACCCACTTTATTCGTTATTTTTTGATACAAACTTCGAGTTTGACGAAATTTCGAATCATTTTCAGAGACAAAACAATTCATGAACATCAAATTTGCGTGAATAAACATATTCTCATGATACGGACTTTAACGATGACACTGTATATTGAATTTCTTTCTAAACCACACCTCGTATACATAATTTTCGATGTGATATGTCAGATATACACTTCCTGTTCGAGAATTATTCCGTTAGAATGATGACGTAACTGATGAATCACTAAGGAGGTTAATCATGCATCCGATACCGGTGGCGACGCAGTATTGTATTAGATTTCATCGCGTGCAGTCGATCTGATTGATTTGAAAAAATAACTTATATTGTTTACACGTGGGAATCAAAATGTATGGTGTCATTGAGTGATTATAGTGAGATGTTTGTGTATATGTGTGAGTGAGTTCTGGTGGAATATTTCAGCAATAAAAAGACTGGGATGTTTTGTATTGTTGTTGTTCTTCTTCTTTTTAGATATGGTGAGTGATTTTGTTATTATTTTCTTTTTATTCATATAGGGAGTGATTGAATAGATGAAAAAAAAAAAGAATTCGAGTTATTAAAAGTGAAAAACTAAAAATTAACTTGGGTGTAGTGATTTTATTTTCATTTGAGTGCATGGAAGTTGTCTCTTTTCAACATGGTAAGTGTGTTGATTGATTGTCTTTATTACCCCAAGAAACATTATTGTTTATAATAGGGATATATACAACAAAGCATACATATCACATAACAAAT